TCTCACCCTATAGGGACCCCAAACCCGGACCCACAGGGACCCCACGGCGACCCCAGATCCCGACCCACAGGGACCCCAAACCCCACCCCATAGAGACCCCAAACCCCGCCCCATAGGGACTCCATGGGGACCCCAGACCCATAAGGACCCCACACCCCGCCCCATAGGGACTCCATGGGGACCCCAGACCCATAAGGACCCAAACCCCGCCCCATAGGGACTCCATGGAGACCCCAGACCCATAAGGACCCCAACCCAGCCCCATAGGGACTCCATGGGGACCCCATCCCAGCCCTATAGGGATCCCACACCCTGACCCACGGGGACCTCCTATCCCACCCCATAGAGACCCCACATCTCACCCTATAGGGACCCCAAACCCGGACCCACAGGGACCCCACGGCGACCCCAGATCCTGACCCACAGGGACCCCAAACCCCACCCCATAGAGACCCCAAACCCCGCCCCATAGGGACTCCATGGGGACCCCATCCCAGCCCTATAGGGATCCCACACCCTGACCCACGGGGACCTCCTATCCCACCCCATAGGGACCCCATATCTCACCCTATAGGGACCCCAAACCCGGACCCACAGGGACCCCACGGCGACCCCAGATCCCAACCCACAGGGACCCCAAACCCCACCCCATAGAGACCCCAAACCCCGCCCCATAGGGACTCCATGGGGACCCCAGACCCATAAGGACCCCAAACCCCACCCCATAGGGACTCCATGGAGACCCCAGACCCATAAGGACCCCAACCCAGCCCCATAGGGACTCCATGGAGACCCCAGACCCATAAGGACCCCAAACCCCGCCCCATAGGGACTCCATGGAGACCCCAGACCCATAAGGACCCCAACCCAGCCCCATAGGGACTCCATGGAGACCCCAGACCCATAAGGACCCCAACTCTGCCCCATAGGGACTCCATGGAGACCCCAGACCCATAAGGACCCCAACTCTGCCCCATAGGGACTCCATGGAGACCCCAGACCCATAAGGACCCCAACCCAGCCCCATAGGGACTCCATGGGGACCCCAGACCCGTAAGGACCCCAACCCAGCCCCATAGGGACTCCATGGGGACCCCAGACCCATAAGGACCCCAACCCAGCCCCATAGGGACTCCATGGGGACCCCATCCCAGCCCTATAGGGATCCCACACCCTGACCCACGGAGACCTCCTATCCCACCCCATAGAGACCCCACATCTCACCCTATAGGGACCCCAAACCCGGACCCACGGGGACCCCACGGCGACCCCAGATCCCGACCCACAGGGACCCCAAACCCCACCCCATAGAGACCTCAGACCCCGCCCCATAGGGACTCCATGGGGACCCCAGACCCATAAGGACCCCAAACCCCGCCCCATAGGGACTCCATGGGGACCCCAGACCCGTAAGGACCCCAACCCAGCCCCATAGGGACTCCATGGGGACCCCAGACCCATAAGGACCCCAACCCAGCCCCATAGGGACTCCATGGGGACCCCATCCCAGCCCTATAGGGATCCCACACCCTGACCCACGGGGACCTCTTGTCCCACCCCATAGAGACCCCACATCTCACCCTATAGGGACCCCAAACCCGGACCCACAGGGACCCCACGGCGACCCCAGATCCCGACCCACAGGGACCCCAAACCCCACCCCATAGAGACCCCAAACCCCGCCCCATGGGGACTCCATGGAGACCCCAGACCCATAAGGACCCCAAACCCCGCCCCATAGGGACTCCATGGATACCCCAGACCCATAAGGATCCCAACCCAGCCCCATAGGGACTCCATGGGGACCCCAGACCCATAAGGACCCCAAACCCCGCCCCATAGGGACTCCATGGGGACCCCAGACCCATAAGGACCCCAACCCAGCCCCATAGGGACTCCATGGAGACCCCAGACCCATAAGGACCCCAACCCAGCCCCATAGGGACTCCATGGGGACCCCAGACCCATAAGGACCCCAACCCAGCCCCATAGGGACTCCATGGGGACCCCATCCCAGCCCTATAGGGATCCCACACCCTGACCCACCGGGACCTCCTATCCCACCCCATAAAGACCCCACCTCTCACCCTATAGGGACCCCAAACCCGGACCCACAGGGACCCCACGGCGACCCCAGATCCCGACCCACAGGGACCCCAAACCCCACCCCATAGAGACCCCAAACCCCACCCCATAGGGACTCCATGGGGACTCCAGACCCATAAGGACCCCAACCCAGCCCCATAGGGACTCCATGGAGACCCCAGACCCATAAGGACCCCAAACCCCGCCCCATAGGGACTCCATGGGGACCCCATCCCAGCCCTATAGGGATCCCACACCCTGACCCACGGGGACCTCCTATCCCACCCCATAGAGACCCCACATCTCACCCTATAGGGACCCCAAACCCGGACCCACAGGGACCCCAAACCCCACCTCCGCAGCGACCCCCACAGCGACCCCAGCCCCCCAATTACCGCCCCCCCCCCCCCCCCACCTGGGTCCCCCACAGGCCGGGTCAGCAGCAGGACGGCGCCCCCCTCCGTGGGGTGGCAGCTGGAGACGGAGTTGGGGGGCAGGAGGGGCAGCAGCGCCGCGGGGGGGGCGCCGGAAAGCAGCAGCGCCGTGGGGTCCCAGGGGGGGGCGCGGCGCAGCTTCAGCTCCCAGCCCCACGGCCGGTGGGGGGCCCGCGCCAGGACGCCCTCCAGAGCTGGGGGGGGATGGGGGGGGTCAGCGCCTGCCCCACATCGCGACCCACTGCCCCACATCGCACCTCCCTGCCCCACATCGCGACACACAGCCCCACATCGCACCCCCCTGCCCCACATCGCGACACACAGCCCCACATCGCATCCCATTGCCCCACAGCACCGCCTGCCCCACATCGCATCCCACAGCCCCACAACGCACCTCCCTGCCCCACATCGCACCACACTGCCCCACAGCACCACCTGCCCCACATCGCGACACACAGCCCCACAGCACCGCCTGCCCCACATCGCGACCCACAGCCCCACATCGCACCTCCCTGCACCACATCGTGACCCACAGCCCCACAGCACCGCCTGCCCCACATCATGACCCACACCCCACAGAACCGCCTGCCCCACATCGCGACACACAGCCCCACATCGCACCTCCCTGCCCCACATCGCGACCCACAGCCCCACATCGCATCCCATTGCCCCACAGCACCGCCTGCCCCACATCGCATCCCACAGCCCCACATCGCACCTCCCTGCCCCACATCGCGACCCACAGCCCCACATCGCATCCCATTGCCCCACAGCACCGCCTGCCCCACATTGTGACCCACAGCCCCACGTCGCACCTCCCTGCCCCACATCGCGACACACAGCCCCACAGCACTGCCTGCCCCACATCATGACCCACACCCCACAGAACCGCCTGCCCCACATCGCGACACACAGCCCCACATCGCACCTCCCTGCCCCACATCGCGACACACAGCCCCACATCGCATCCCATTGCCCCACAGCACCACCTGCCCCACATCACGTCCCGCAGCCCCACAGCACCGCCTGCCCCACATTGTGACCCAGAGCCCCACAGCACCGCCTGCCCCACATCGTGACCCACAGCCCCACAGCACCGCCTGCCCCACATTGTGACCCACAGCCCCACAGCACCGCCTGCCCCACATCGTGACCCACAGCCCCACAGCACCGCCTGCCCCACATTGCACCACACTGCACCACAGCACCGCCTGCCCCACATCATCACCCACAGCCCCACAGCACCCCCTGCCCCACATCACGTCCCGCAGCCCCACAGCAACGCCTGCCCCACATCACGTCCCGCAGCCCCACAGCACCGCCTGCCCCACATCGCATCCCGCGGCCCCACAGCACCGCCTGCCCCACATCGCATCCCGCGGCCCCACAGCACCGCCTGCCCCACATCACGTCCCACAGCCCCACAGCACCGCCTGCCCCACATTGCACCCCCCTGCCCCACATCGTGACCCACAGCCCCACAGCACCGCCTGCCCCACATTGCACCCCCCTGCCCCACATTGTGACCCACAGCCCCACAGCACCTCCTGCCCCACATCGCACCCCCCTGCCCCACATCGCGACCCACAGCCCCACATCGCACCTCCCTGCCCCACATCGCGACACACAGCCCCACAGCCCCGCCTGCCCCACATCACACCACACTGCCCCACAGCACCGCCTGCCCCACATTGTGACCCACAGCCCCACAGCACCCCCTGCCCCACATCGTGACCCACAGCCCCACAGCACCGCCTGCCCCACATTGTGACCCACAGCCCCACAGCACCCCCTGCCCCACATCACGTCCCGCAGCCCCACAGCACCGCCTGCCCCACATCGCATCCCGCGGCCCCACAGCACTGCCTGCCCCACATCACGTCCCACAGCCCCACAGCACTGCCTGCCCCACATCGCATCCCGCGGCCCCACAGCACTGCCTGCCCCACATCACGTCCCACAGCCCCACAGCACCGCCTGCCCCACATCGCATCCTGCGGCCCCACAGCACTGCCTGCCCCACATCACGTCCCACAGCCCCACAGCACCGCCTGCCCCACATCGCATCCCGCGGCCCCACAGCACTGCCTGCCCCACATCGCGACACACAGCCCCACAGCACCGCCTGCCCCACATCATGACCCACAGCCCCACAGAACCGCCTGCCCCACATTGTGACCCACAGCCCCACAGCACCCCCTGCCCCACATCACGTCCCGCAGCCCCACAGCACCGCCTGCCCCACATCGCATCCCGCGGCCCCACAGCACTGCCTGCCCCACATCACGTCCCACAGCCCCACAGCACCGCCTGCCCCCCATTGCACCCCCCTGCCCCACATCGCGACCCACAGCCCCACAGCACCGCCTGCCCCACATCACACCCCCCAGCCCCACATCACATCCCATTGCCCCACAGCACCGCCTGCCCCACATCACACCCCACTGCCCCACAGCACCACCGGTCCCCCATTGCACCCCCCTGCCCCACATCGCGACCCACAGCCCCACATCGCACCTCCCTGCCCCACATCGCGACACACAGCCCCACATCGCATCCCATTGCCCCACAGCACCGCCTGCCCCACATCATGACCCACAGCCCCACAGCACCGCCTGCCCCACATCACGACACACAGCCCCACATCGCACCTCCCTGCCCCACATCGCGACACACAGCCCCACATCGCATCCCATTGCCCCACAGCACCGCCTGCCCCACATTGTGACCCACAGCCCCACAGCACCACCTGCCCCACATCACGTCCCGCAGCCCCACAGCACCGCCTGCCCCACATCGCATCCCGCGGCCCCACAGCACTGCCTGCCCCACATCATGACCCACAGCCCCACATCGCGCCCCACAGCCCCACATCGCACCTCCCTGCCCCACATCGCAACACACAGCCCCACATCGCATCCCATTGCCCCACAGCACCGCCTGCCCCACATTGTGATCCACAGCCCCACAGCACCGCCTGCCCCACATCATCACCCACAGCCCCACAGCACCGCCTGCCCCACATCGTGACCCACAGCCCCACAGCACCACCTGCCCCACATCACGTCCCGCAGCCCCACAGCACCGCCTGCCCCACATCGTGACCCACAGCCCCACAGCACCACCTGCCCCACATTGTGACCCACAGCCCCACAGCACCCCCTGCCCCACATCACGTCCCGCAGCCCCACAGCACCGCCTGCCCCACATCGCATCCCGCGGCCCCACAGCACCGCCTGCCCCCCATTGCACCCCCCTGCCCCACATCGCGACCCACAGCCCCACAGCACCCCCTGCCCCACATCACGTCCCACAGCCCCACAGCACCGCCTGCCCCCCATTGCACCCCCCTGCCCCACATCGCGACCCACAGCCCCACAGCACCGCCTGCCCCCCACTGCACCCCCCTGCCCCACATCGCGACCCACAGCCCCACAGCACCGCCTGCCCCCCATTGCACCACACTGCCCCACATCGTGACACACAGCCCCACATCGCACCTCCCTGCCCCACATCGCGACCAACAGCCCCACAGCACCGCCTGCCCCCCATTGCACCCCCCTGCCCCACATCGCGACCAACAGCCCCACAGCACCGCCTGCCCCCCATCGCACCCCCCTGCCCCACATCGTGACCCACAGCCCCACAGCACCGCCTGCCCCCCATTGCACCCCCCTGCCCCACATCGCGACCCACAGCCCCACAGCACCGCCTGCCCCCCATTGCACCCCCCTGCCCCACATCGTGACCCACAGCCCCACAGCACCGCCTGCCCCCCATTGCACCCCCCTGCCCCACATCGCGACCCACAGCCCCACAGCACCGCCTGCCACACATCGCATCCCGCGGCCCCACAGCACCGCCTGCCCCACATCGCATCCCGCGGCCCCACAGCACTGCCTGCCCCACATCGCGACACACAGCCCCACAGCACCGCCTGCCCCGCATCGCACCCCCCTGCCCCACATCGCGACCAACAGCCCCACAGCACCGCCTGCCCCACATTGCACCCCCCTGCCCCACATCGTGACCCACAGCCCCACAGCACCGCCTGCCCCACATTGCACCCCCCTGCCCCACATCCTGACCCACAGCCCCACAGCACCACCTGCCCCACATCGCATCCCACAGCCCCACATCATGACCCACCGCCCCACAGCACCGCCTGCCCCACATCGCACCCCCCTGCCCCACATCGCGACCCACAGCCCCACAGCAACGCCTGCCCCACATCACGTCCCGCAGCCCCACAGCACCGCCTGCCCCACATCACACCCCCCTACCCCACATCATGACCCACAGCCCCACAGCACCGCCTGCCCCCCATTGCACCTCCCTGCCCCACATCATGACCCACAGCCCCACAGCACCGCCTGCCCCACATCGCATCCCACAGCCCCACAGCAACGCCTCCCCCACATTGCACTCCCCTGCCCCACATCGCGTCCCGCAGCCCCACAGCACCGCCTGCCCCACATCGTGACCCACAGCCCCACAGCACCGCCTGCCCCACATCGTGACCCACAGCCCCATAGCACCGCCTGCCCCCCATTGCACCCCCCTGCCCCACATCGCGACCCACAGCCCCACAGCACCGCCTGCCACACATCGCATCCCGCGGCCCCACAGCACCGCCTGCCCCACATCGCGACACACAGCCCCACAGCACCGCCTAGCCCCACATCATGACCCACACCCCACAGAACCGCCTGCCCCACATCACGACACACAGCCCCACATCGCACCTCCCTGCCCCACATCACGACCCACAGCCCCACATCGCATCCCATTGCCCCACAGCACCGCCTGCCCCACATTGTGATCCACAGCCCCACAGCACCGCCTCCCCCACATCACACCCCCCTGCCCCACATCACATCCCATTGCCCCACAGCACCGCCTGCCCCACATCGCACCACACTGCCCCACAGCACCGCCTGCCCCACATCGTGACCCACAGCCCCACAGCACCCCCTGCCCCACATCATGACCCACAGCCCCACAGAACCGCCTGCCCCACATCGCGACACACAGCCCCACAGCACCGCCTGCCCCACATTGCGACCCACAGCCCCACAGCACCGCCTGCCCCACATCATCACCCACAGCCCCACAGCACCGCCTGCCCCACATTGCGACCCACAGCCCCACAGCACCGCCTGCCCCACATCGCACCACACTGCCCCACAGCACCGCCTGCCCCACATTGTGACCCACAGCCCCACAGCACCACCTGCCCCACATCACGTCCCGCAGCCCCACAGCACCACCTGCCCCACATCGTGACCCACAGCCCCACAGCACCGCCTGCCCCACATTGTGACCCACAGCCCCACAGCACCCCCTGCCCCACATCACGTCCCGCAGCCCCACAGCACCGCCTGCCCCACATCGCATCCCGCGGCCCCACAGCACCGCCTGCCCCCCATTGCACCCCCCTGCCCCACATCGCGACCCACAGCCCCACAGCACCCCCTGCCCCACATCACGTCCCACAGCCCCACAGCACCGCCTGCCCCCCATTGCACCCCCCTGCCCCACATCGCGACCCACAGCCCCACAGCACCGCCTGCCCCCCACTGCACCCCCCTGCCCCACATCGCGACCCACAGCCCCACAGCACCGCCTGCCCCCCATTGCACCACACTGCCCCACATCGTGACACACAGCCCCACATCGCACCTCCCTGCCCCACATCGCGACCAACAGCCCCACAGCACCGCCTGCCCCCCATTGCACCCCCCTGCCCCACATCGCGACCAACAGCCCCACAGCACCGCCTGCCCCCCATCGCACCCCCCTGCCCCACATCGCGACCCACAGCCCCACAGCACCGCCTGCCCCGCATCGCACCCCCCTGCCCCACATCGCGACCAACAGCCCCACAGCACCGCCTGCCCCACATTGCACCCCCCTGCCCCACATCGTGACCCACAGCCCCACAGCACCGCCTGCCCCACATTGCACCCCCCTGCCCCACATCCTGACCCACAGCCCCACAGCACCACCTGCCCCACATCGCATCCCACAGCCCCACATCATGACCCACCGCCCCACAGCACCGCCTGCCCCACATCGCACCCCCCTGCCCCACATCGCGACCCACAGCCCCACAGCAACGCCTGCCCCACATCACGTCCCGCAGCCCCACAGCACCGCCTGCCCCACATCACACCCCCCTACCCCACATCATGACCCACAGCCCCACAGCACCGCCTGCCCCCCATTGCACCTCCCTGCCCCACATCATGACCCACAGCCCCACAGCACCGCCTGCCCCACATCGCATCCCACAGCCCCACAGCAACGCCTCCCCCACATTGCACTCCCCTGCCCCACATCGCGTCCCGCAGCCCCACAGCACCGCCTGCCCCACATCGTGACCCACAGCCCCACAGCACCGCCTGCCCCACATCGTGACCCACAGCCCCATAGCACCGCCTGCCCCCCATTGCACCCCCCTGCCCCACATCGCGACCCACAGCCCCACAGCACCGCCTGCCACACATCGCATCCCGCGGCCCCACAGCACCGCCTGCCCCACATCGCGACACACAGCCCCACAGCACCGCCTAGCCCCACATCATGACCCACACCCCACAGAACCGCCTGCCCCACATCACGACACACAGCCCCACATCGCACCTCCCTGCCCCACATCACGACCCACAGCCCCACATCGCATCCCATTGCCCCACAGCACCGCCTGCCCCACATTGTGATCCACAGCCCCACAGCACCGCCTCCCCCACATCACACCCCCCTGCCCCACATCACATCCCATTGCCCCACAGCACCGCCTGCCCCACATCGCACCACACTGCCCCACAGCACCGCCTGCCCCACATCGTGACCCACAGCCCCACAGCACCCCCTGCCCCACATCATGACCCACAGCCCCACAGAACCGCCTGCCCCACATCGCGACACACAGCCCCACAGCACCGCCTGCCCCACATTGCGACCCACAGCCCCACAGCACCGCCTGCCCCACATCATCACCCACAGCCCCACAGCACCGCCTGCCCCACATTGCGACCCACAGCCCCACAGCACCGCCTGCCCCACATCGCACCACACTGCCCCACAGCACCGCCTGCCCCACATTGTGACCCACAGCCCCACAGCACCACCTGCCCCACATCACGTCCCGCAGCCCCACAGCACCACCTGCCCCACATCGTGACCCACAGCCCCACAGCACCGCCTGCCCCACATTGTGACCCACAGCCCCACAGCACCCCCTGCCCCACATCACGTCCCGCAGCCCCACAGCACCGCCTGCCCCACATCGCATCCCGCGGCCCCACAGCACCGCCTGCCCCCCATTGCACCCCCCTGCCCCACATCGCGACCCACAGCCCCACAGCACCCCCTGCCCCACATCACGTCCCACAGCCCCACAGCACCGCCTGCCCCCCATTGCACCCCCCTGCCCCACATCGCGACCCACAGCCCCACAGCACCGCCTGCCCCCCACTGCACCCCCCTGCCCCACATCGCGACCCACAGCCCCACAGCACCGCCTGCCCCCCATTGCACCACACTGCCCCACATCGTGACACACAGCCCCACATCGCACCTCCCTGCCCCACATCGCGACCAACAGCCCCACAGCACCGCCTGCCCCCCATTGCACCCCCCTGCCCCACATCGCGACCAACAGCCCCACAGCACCGCCTGCCCCCCATCGCACCCCCCTGCCCCACATCGCGACCCACAGCCCCACAGCACCGCCTGCCCCGCATCGCACCCCCCTGCCCCACATCGCGACCAACAGCCCCACAGCACCGCCTGCCCCACATTGCACCCCCCTGCCCCACATCGTGACCCACAGCCCCACAGCACCGCCTGCCCCACATTGCACCCCCCTGCCCCACATCCTGACCCACAGCCCCACAGCACCACCTGCCCCACATCGCATCCCACAGCCCCACATCATGACCCACCGCCCCACAGCACCGCCTGCCCCACATCGCACCCCCCTGCCCCACATCGCGACCCACAGCCCCACAGCAACGCCTGCCCCACATCACGTCCCGCAGCCCCACAGCACCGCCTGCCCCACATCACACCCCCCTACCCCACATCATGACCCACAGCCCCACAGCACCGCCTGCCCCCCATTGCACCTCCCTGCCCCACATCATGACCCACAGCCCCACAGCACCGCCTGCCCCACATCGCATCCCACAGCCCCACAGCAACGCCTCCCCCACATTGCACTCCCCTGCCCCACATCGCGTCCCGCAGCCCCACAGCACCGCCTGCCCCACATCGTGACCCACAGCCCCACAGCACCGCCTGCCCCACATCGTGACCCACAGCCCCATAGCACCTCCTGCCCCACATTGCACCCCACTGCCCCACAGCACTGCCTGCCCCATAGCCGCTCCTGCCCCACATCACTCCCTCACCATTTGTGCTGAGCCCCCCCAAAATCCATTCCCAGCGCTCCCAGTGCCCCCACGTCCCCCTCCCAGTGCTCCCAGTGCCCCCACGTCCCCATCCCAGTGCTCCCAGTGCCTCCCACGTCCCCCTCCCAGTGCCCCCATGTCCCCCTCCCTGTGCTACCATTGCCCCCCAATGCTCCCATTGCCCCCCAATGCTCCCATTGCCCCCCTACGTCCCCATCCCAGTGCTCCCAGTGCCCCCCAGTGCTCCCAGTGCCCCCACATCCCCATCCCAGCGCTCCCATTGCCCCCACATGCCCATCCCAGTGCTCCCAGTGCCCCCATGTCCCCATCCCATTGCCCCCCAGTGCTCCCAGTGCTCCCAGTGCCCCCACATCCCCCTCCCAGTGCTCCCAGTGCCCCCATGTCCCCCTCCCAGTGCTCCCAGTGCCCCCCAGTGCTCCCAGTGCCCCCATGTCCCCCTCCCTGTGCTACCATTGCCCCCCAATGCTCCCATTGCCCCCCACGTCCCCCTCCCAGTGCTCCCAATGCCCCCCATATCCCCATCCCAGTGCCCCCACGTCCCCCTCCCAGTGCTCCCATTGCCCCCCAATGCTCCCATTGCCCCCCACGTCCCCCTCCCAGTGCTCCCAGTGCCCCCACGTCCCCATCCCAGCGCTCCCAGTGCCCCCCAATGCTCCCATTGCCCCCCATTTCCCTCTCCCAATGCTCCCAGTGCCCCCACATCCCCATCCCAGTGCTCCCAGTGCCTCCCATGTCCCCATCCCAGTGCCCCCATGTCCCCATCCCAGTGCTCCCAGTGCCCCCCAGTGCTCCCAGTGCCCCCCATGTCCCCCTCCCAGTGCTCCCAGTGCCCCCCAGTGCTCCCAGTGCCCCCATGTCCCCATCCCAGTGCCCCCACGTCCCCCTCCCAGTGCTCCCAGTGCCCCCCACGTCCCCATCCCAGTGCTCCCATTGCCCCCCAATGCTCCCATTGCCCCCCACGTCCCCATCCCAGCGCTCCCAGTGCCCCCCAATGCTCCCATTGCCCCCCATTTCCCTCTCCCAGTGCTCCCAGTGCCCCCACATCCCCATCCCAGTGCCCCCATGTCCCCCTCCCAGTGCTCCCAGTGCCCCCCACGTCCCCATCCCAGTGCTCCCAGTGCCCCCACGTCCCCATCCCAGTGCTCCCAGTGCCCCCCAATGCTCCCATTGCCCCCCAATGCTCCCATTGCCCCCCACGTCCCCCTCCCAGCTCTCGCAGTAGCACCGAGCCCCCCCCCCCCTCGCCCCCCCCCGTTCCGTCGCTGCCGGTTCCCCCGCTCACCGCCGTGGCTCTGGAAGGTGACGTAGAGGCGCCCCCCCAGCCTCTCGCAGCTCCGCACCGGGCCGCCCCCCGAGCGCCGCGCGTTCTCCAGGTAGAGCAGCAGCGCCTCCTCCCCGCCGCAGGGGGCGCCGCGCACCTCCAGCACCGCCTCCATCTGCGGGTCTGGGGAGGAGGGGGGGGGGGGCAGCGCCGATACACGCGGCTCCGACCCGCGGCGCCCCACATCTGCCCCCCCCCCCCCCCCCCCGGCCCCATAACCGCGTCCCCGATCCGCCCCACATCCCCGCCCCACGGCCCCGTTCCCTCCCGCTCCCGCCCTTGAGCCGCAGTTCCGCCCCGCTCTCCCGATCAACCGCCGCCCCGCTTCTCTTCGCAACCCCGCATCCGCGGCCCCCAAACCCCGCCAAATCCCGGCCCTCCGGCCGCAGCCCCGCAGCCCCGCAGCCCGGCCCCCGCCTCCCCCCGCACCCCGCACCCCGCACCTCCCATCGCTCCGCTTCGCTCCGGCGGCGAAACGAAACCGAAAGCCGAACCCCGAGGCGGAAAAGGATGGGTGGGCGTGGCCTCAGTGGAAACCACGCCCCCGTGACCACGCCCCCTCATTGAGCCACGCCCCCTTCATGCGGTTGATCCGACGGCGCGGGCCCCGCCCCCGCACAAGCCCCGCCTCCTTGCCGTCCATCTCCGCACAGGCCCCGCCTCCTGCTTTAGGCCCCGCCTCTTTTCGGCCTCACGTCTGCTTGCCGGTCCGTCTCCGCGCAGGCCACGCCCCCCACTTAGACCACGCCTCCTTTAGGCTCCGCCTCTGCGGTTGGGCCTCCTCTCCGTAGACCCCTCCCCCAGCCTTAGGCCCCGCCCCCTTTTAAGTCCGACTCCTCCGTTGATTCGTTTCCGCGTTGGCCCCGCCCCCTACGCAGGCCCCGCCCCTCGCGTAGACCCCGCCCTCATTCAGGCCCCGCCCACTGCGCGGAGCGGAGCGGCGCGGAGCGGTGAGCGGCTGCGGAGCGGCTCTTATGGGGCGGCGGTTCCTTATGGGGCGGCATTTCCCTATGGGGCGGAGGTTCCTTATGGGGCGGCTCCACGCGTGGCCGCGGTGCCGCAGCGCGGATCCCCCCTGAGCGGCGGTCGGCTGGGAGGCGGAGCCCCGCGGAGCTCCGGGGATCGGGGGCGGCCGTTGCTCCCCGCCGAGCGGCGCCCCGCGCCGGGCAGCGCCGTTACGCGAGGCCGGGGATCGGGTGGGAGGTGCAGGCCGCGCGTGGGCCGCGGCGGATTAACGGGCAAAGCGGATTAAACGCACCCCCCCCCCCCGCTCCCTCCATCCCATCCCATCCCATCCCCCCCCCAGGGACGCACGGCGCGGCCCCGCGTGACACTGCGGGGGGGGGGGAGGGGCTGCGATGTGGGGCTGAGGGCTGGGATGGGGGCTGGGGGCTGCGATGTGGGGCTGCGATACGAGGTTGGGATGTGGGGCGAAGGGCTGCGATACGAGGTTGGGATGTGGGGCTGCGATACGAGGTTGCGATGTGGGGCTGCGATGTGGGGCTGCGATACGAGGTTGGGATGTGGGGCTGCGATGTGGGGCTGCGATACGAGGTTGGGATGTGGGGCTGCGATGTGGGGCTGCAATACGAGGTTGGGATGTGGGGCTGCGATGTGGGGCTGCGATACGAGGTTGGGATGTGGGGCTGCGATGTGGGGCTGCAATACGAGGTTGGGATGTGGGGCTGCGATGTGGGGCTGCGATACGAGGTTGGGATGTGGGGCTGCGATGTGGGGCTGCAATACGAGGTTGGGATGTGGGGCTGCGATGTGGGGCTGTGATACGAGGTTGGGATGTGGGGCGAAGGGCTGCGATACGAGGTTGGGATGTGGGGCTGCGATGTGGGGCTGCGATACGAGGTTGGGATGTGGGGCTGCGATGTGGGGTTGCGATACGAGGTTGGGATGTGGGGCGAAGGGCTGCGCTGTGGGGCGAAGGGCTGCGATGTGGGGCGAAGGGCTGCGATGTGGGGCTGCACTGCGGGGCCATTTAAGGAGAGGAGATCGTGGGGCAAGGCTGTGGGGTCCGCTGTGGGGCGTGAGGCTGCGCTATGGGGCCGTGATAGGAGGTTGGGATGTGGGGCTGCGATGTGGGGCAGGGCTGTGGGGTGTGGGGCTGTGCTATGGGGCTGTGCTATGGGGCTGTGATAGGAGGTTGGGATGTGGGGCTGTGCTATGGGGCAGGGCTGTGGGGTGTGGGGCTGTGCTATGAGGTTGGGATGTGGGGCTGTGCTATGGGGCAGGGCTGTGGGGTGTGGGGCAGCGCTTATGGGGCCGTTCTATGGGGCTGTGCTATGAGGTTGGGATGTGGGGCTGTGCTATGGGGCAGGGCTGTGGGGTGTGGGGCTGCGCTATGGGGCCGTGATAGGAGGTTGGGATGTGGGGCTGCGATGTGGGGCAGGGCTGTGGGGCAGGGGGCTGCGCTATGGGGCTGTGCTATGAGGTTGGGATGTGGGGCTGTGCTATGGGGCAGGGCTGTGGGGTGTGGGGCTGCGCTATGGGGCTGCGCTATGGGGTTGGGATGTGGGGCTGTGCTATGGGGCTGCACCGCAGGGACATTAAATGAAGGGGTTCTGTGGGGCAGGGCTATGGGGTGCACTGTGGGGCAGATGTATGGGATGTGGGGCTGCGCTGTGGGGCAGATCTATGGGGTGGCTCTGTGGGATATGGAGCTGTGCTATGGGGTTGGGTGTGGGGCTGTGCTATGGGGTTGTACTGCAGGAACATTAAACGAAGGGGTTCTGTGGGGCAGGGCTATGGGGTGCGCTATGGGGCAGCTCTGTGGGATGTGGGGCTGCGCTACAGGGATGTTCAATGAAGGGTTCTATGGGGCAGCGCTTATGGGGCCGTTCTGTGGGGCTGCGCTATGGGGTTGTGCTGCGGCGATGGTGGGGCAGTTGTGGGGTGGGATGTGGGGCGGCAAAAGGAATGAGATTGGGAGGCGGCGGGATGTGGGGCGGGATGTGGGGCTGTGTGGGGCTGTGTGGGGCAGGATGTGGGGCGGGATGTGGGGCTGTGTGGGGCGCGATGTGGGGCGGGATGTGGGGCTGTATGGGGCGGGATGCGGGGCTGTGTGGGGCGGGTTGTGGGGCAGGATGTGGGGCGTGATGTGGGGCTGTGTGGGGCGGGATGTGGGGCGGGATGCGGGGCTGTGTGGGGCGTGATGTGGGGCTGTGTGGGGCGGGATGTGGGGCGGGATGCGGGGCTGTGTGGGGCAGGATGCGGGGCTGTGTGGGGCGGGTTGTGGGGCAGGATGTGGGGCGGGATGTGGGGCTGTGTGGGGCGCGATGTGGGGCGGGATGTGGGGCTGTATGGGGCGGGATGCGGGGCTGTGTGGGGCTGTGTGGGGCGGGATGTGGGGCTGTGTGGGGCAGGATGCGGGGCTGTGTGGGGCGGGTTGTGGGGCCGGATGTGGGGCGTGATGTGGGGCTGTGTGGGGCGGGATGTGGGGCGGGATGCGGGGCTGTGTGGGGCGTGATGTGGGGCTGTGTGGGGCGGGATGTGGGGCGGGATGCGGGGCTGTGTGGGGCAGGATGCGGGGCTGTGTGGGGTGGGTTGTGGGGCAGGATGTGGGGCGGGATGTGGGGCTGTGTGGGGCGGGATGTGGGGCGGGATGCGGGGCTGTGTGGGGCGGGATGCGGGGCTGTGTGGGGTGGGTTGTGGGGCAGGATGTGGGGCGGGATGTGGGGCTGTGTGGGGCGGGATGTGGGGCGGGATGCGGGGCTGTGTGGGGCAGGATGCGGGGCTGTGTGGGGCGGGATGTGGGGCGGCTGTGGGGCAGCGTGGGGCGGGATGTGGGGCGGTGCAGAGGGATGCTATGGGGTGGGTGGGGGGGAGGTGGGGCGGAGCGACGGTGGGGGCACTTATGGGGCAGCGTGGGGCGATGGGGGGCGCGGTTGTGGGGCTGGGAGTTGGGGGGGGGGGGGGGGGGGCTTTTGGGGGGGTCCAGTTGTGGGGCAGCGTGGGGTTTGGTTGGGGGGCCGGAAGAGGGGAAGTCAGCTGGTGTGGGGAGCTGTGGGGCTGCGTGGGCTTTTATGGTCCCTATGGGGTCAGTGGGGCTCTATGGGGCCGTGTGGGGCTCTGGAGGGATCAGTGGGGATCAGTGGGGCCATGTGGGGCTCTATAGGGATCAGTGGGGCTCTATAGGGATCTGTGGGGCTCTATAAGGATCTGTGGGGCCGTGTGGGGCTCTATAGGGATCAGTGGGGCTCTATAGGGATCAGTGGGGCCATGTGGGGCTCTATAGGGATCTGTGGGGCTCTATAGGGATCAGTGGGGCTCTATAAGGATCTGTGGGGCCGTGTGGGGCTCTATAGGGATCAGTGGGGCTCTATAAGGATCTGTGGGGCCGTGTGGGGCTTTATAGGGATCAGTGGGGCTGTGTAGGGCTCTGGAGGGATCTGTGGGGCTCTATAGGGATCAGTGGGGCTCTATAGGGATCTGCGGGCCTCTATAAGGATCTGTGGGGCCGTGTGGGGCTCTATAGGGATCTGTGGGGCCGTGTGGGACTTTATAGGGATCAGTGGGGCTCTATAGGGATCAGTGGGGCCATGTGGGGCTCTATAGGGATCAGTGGGGCTCTATAGGGATCAGTGGGGCCCTATGGGGCTCTATAGGGATCAATGGGGCTCTATAGGGATCAGTGGGGCCCTATGGGGCTCTATAGGGATCAGTGGGGCTCTATAGGGATCAGTGGGGCCATGTGGGGCTCTATAGGGATCTATGGGGCTCTATAGGGATCTGTGGGGATATGTGGGGCTCTATAGGGATCAGTGGGGCTCTATAGGGATCAGTGGGGCCCTATGGGGCTCTATAGGGATCAGTGGGGCTCTATAGGGATCAGTGGGGCCATGTGGGGCTCTATAGGGATCAGTGGGGCTCTATAGGGATCAGTGGGGCCATGTGGGGCTCTATAGGGATCAGTGGGGCTTTATAGGGATCAGTGGGGCCATGTGGGGCTCTATAGGGATCTGTGGGGCTCTATAGGGATCAGTGGGGCCATGTGGGGCTCTATAGGGATCAGTGGGGCTCTATAGGGATCAGTGGGGCCATGTGGGGCTCTATAGGGATCTGTGGGGCTCTATAGGGATCAGTGGGGCCATGTGGGGCTCTATAGGGATCTGTGGGGCCCTATGGGGCTCTATAGGGATCTGTGGGGCTCTATAGGGATCTGTAGGGCCCTATGGGGCTCTATAGGGATCTGTGGGGCTCTATAGGGATCAGTGGGGCTCTATAGGGATCAGTGGGGCCATGTGGGGCTCTATAGGGATCAGTGGGGCTCTATAGGGATCAGTGGGGCCATGTGGGGCTCTATAGGGATCAGTGGGGCTCTATAAGGATCTGTGGGGCCGTGTGGGGCTCTATAGGGATCTGTGGGGCTCTATAGGGATCAGTGGGGCTCTATAGGGATCAGTGGGGCTCTATAAGGATCTGTGGGGCCGTGTGGGGCTCTATAGGGATCTGTGGGGCTGTGTAGGGCTCTGGAGGGATCTATGGGGCTCTATAGGGATCAGTGGGGCCATGTGGGGCTCTATAGAGATCTGTGGGGCCCTATGGGGCTCTATAGGGATCAGTGGGGCCATGTGGGGCTCTATAGGGATCTGTGGGTCTCTAGGGATCAGTGGGGCTCTATAGGAACCAGTGGGGCTCTGTGGGGCCCAATGGGGCCGTGTGGGGCCCTATGGGGATCAGTGGGGCTCTGTGGGGTTCTGTGGGGCCCTATGGGGCACAGTGGAGTTCTGTGGGGCTCTATGGGGCTGTGTGGGGCCCTATGGGGCACAGTGGAGTTCTGTGGGGCCCTATGGGGCACAGTGGGGCTCTGTAAGGCCCTATGAGGCCGTGTGGGGCGCAGTGGGTGCCTGTGGGCGCTATGGGGCGCTATGGGGCCGTGTGGGGCTCTGTGCATCCCTATGGGCCCTATGGGGCCGTTGGTGGAAGGAGGGGGGAGGGGGTGAAGGTAGAAACGCTGTCGCCATGGCAACGGCGCCGCCATCTTGTACCGGCAGCGCCCCCTAGCGCCCACAGGCGCCTCTAGCGCCAATAGCTCCCCATGGGGCCCATAGGTCCCAATAGTGCTCTTTAGCGCCCCCTAGCGGCCACAGCTCCCCATAGGGCCCCATAGTGCTCCCTAGCGCCCCCTAGCGCCAATAGCTCCCCATAGGACCCATAGCTGCCCCATAGCGCCCCATAGGGCCCCATAGTGCTCCCATAGCGCCCCGTATCGCCAGTAGCTCCCCATAGGGCCCATAGCGGCCCCATAGGGCCCCATAGTGCTCCCATAGCGCCCCCTATCGCCCATAGCTCCCATAGGACCCCATAGGGCCCCATAGTGCTCCCATAGCGCTCCCTAGTGGCCATAGCTCCCCATAGGGCCCATAGCTGCCCCCTAGAGCCCCATAGGGCCCTATAGTGCCCCCTATTGCCCATAGCTTCCCTTAGGGCCCATAGCTGCCCCCTAGAGCCCCATAGGACCCCACAGTGCTCCCTAGCGCCCCACAGGGCCCATAGCTCCCTATAGGGCCCCATAAGCTCCCCATAGGGCCCCATAGTGCTCCCTAGCACCCATAGCTCCCCATATGGGCCCATAGCTCCCCATAGGGGCCCATAGCTGCCCCCTAGAGCCCCATAGGGCCCTATAGTGCTCCTAGCGCCTATAGCTCCCCATGGGGCCCCATAGCTTCCCCATAGGGCCCATAAGCTCCCCATAGTGCTCCCTAGCACCCCCTAGCACCCATAGCTCCCCATACGGCCCCATAACTCCCCATAGGGCCCATAGCTGCCCCCTAGAGCCCCATAGGGCCCCACAGTGCTCCCTAGTGCCTATAGCTCCCCATGGGGCCCCATAGTTTCCCCATGGGGCCCATAAGCTCCCCATAGTACTGCCTAGCGCCCCCTAGTACCCATAGCTCTCCATAGGGCCCATAGCTGCCCCCTAGATCCCTATAGAGCCCCATAGTGCCCCCTATTGCCCATAGCTCTCCATAGGGCCCATAGCCGCCCCCTAGAGCCCCATAGCGCCATAGCTCCCCATAGGGCCCATGGCTGCCCCCTAGAGTCCCATAGGGCCCCATAGTGCCCCCTAGCGCCCCCTAGCTCCTATAGCTCCCCATAGTGCTCCCTAGTGCCCCCTAGCGCCTATAGCTCCCCATAGTGCTCCCTACCGCCCCCTAGCGCCCATAGTTCCCCATAGGGCCCCATAGCTCCCCCTAGCGCCCATAGCTTCCCATGGGCCCCATAGCTCCCCATAGGGCCCATAGCTGCCCCCTAGAGCCCCATAGCGCCATAGCTCCCCATGGGGCTCCATAGCTCCCCATAGGGCCCCTAGCACCCCATAGGGCCCCTAGCGCCCCATGGGACCCCATAGCTCCCCATAGGGCCCGAGCTGCCCCCTAGCTCCCCCTAGCGCCCATAGCTTCCCATGGGGTCCATAGCTCCCCATAGGGCCCATAGCCGCCCCCTAGAGCCCCATAGCGCCATAGCTCCCCATGGGGCCCCATAGCTTCCCCATGGGGCCCATAAGCTCCCCATAGTGCTCCCTAGCGCCCCCTAGCGCCTATAGCTCCCCATAGGGCCCCATAGCTTCCCCAAAGGGCCCATAAGCTCCCATAGTGCTCCCTAGCGCCCCCTAGCACCCATAGCTCCCCATAGGGCCCATGGCTGCCCCCTAGAGTCCCATAGCTCCCCATAGTGCCCCCTAGCGCCTGTAGCTCCCCATAGTGCTCTTTAGCGCCCCCTAGCGGCCACAGCTCCCCATAGGGCCCATAGCGCCCCATAGGGCCCATAGCTCCCCATGGGACCGCATAACTCCCCATAGGGCCCTAACTGCCCCCTAGAGCCCCATAGCGCCATAGCTCCCCATGGGGCCCCATAGCTTCCCCATGGGGCCCATAATCTCCCCATAGTGCTCCCTAGCGCCCCCTAGCACCCATAGCTCCCCATAGGGCCCATAGCCGCCCCTTGAGCCCCATAGCGCCCATAGAGCCCCATAGTGCTCCCTAGCGCCCCCTAGCGCCTATAGCTCCCCATAGGGCCCCATAGCTTCCCCATAGGGCCCATAAGCTCCCATAGTGCTCCCTAGCGCCCCCTAGCACCCATAGCTCCCCATAGGGCCCATGGCTGCCCCCTAGAGTCCCATAGGGCCCCATAGTGCCCCCTAGCGCCCATAGCTCCCCATAGGGCCCCCAGCGCCCCATAGGGCCCATAGCTCACCATGGGACCCCTTAACTCCCCATAGGGCCCATAGCCGCCCCCTAGAGCCCCATAGCTCCCCCTAGCGCCCAAAGCTTCCCATGGGCCCCATAGCCACCCCCTAGAGCCCTATAGCGCCCATAGAGCCCCATAGTGCCCCCTAGCGCCCATAGCTCCCCATAGGGCCCCTAGCGCCCCATAGAGCCCATAGCTCCCCATGGGATCCCATAACTCCCCATAGGGCCCTAACTGCCCCCTAGAGCCCCATAGCTCCCCCTAGCGCCCACAGCTTCCCATGGGCCCCATAGCTCCCCATAGGGCCCATAGCTGCCCCCTAGAGCCCCATAGCGCCATAGCTCCCCATGGGGCTCCATAGCTCCCCATAGGGCCCCTAGCGCCCCATAGGGCCCATAGCTCCCCATGGGACCCCATAACTCCCCATAGGGCCCGAGCTGCCCCCTAGAGCCCCATAGCTCCCCCTAGCGCCCATAGCTTCCCATGGGGTCCATAGCTCCCCATAGGGCCCATAGCTGCCCCCTAGAGCCCCATAGCGCCATAGCTCCCCATGGGGCTCCATAGCTTCCCCATGGGGCCCATAATCTCCCCATAGTGCTCCCTAGCGCCCCCTAGCACCCATAGCTGCCCATAGGGCCTATAGCCGCCCCTTGAGCCCTGTAGGGCCCATAGAGCCCCATAGTGCTCCCTAGCGCCCCCTAGCGCCTATAGCTCCCCATAGGCCCCATAGCTTCCCCATAGGGCCCATAAGCTCCCATAGTGCTCCCTAGCACCCCCTAGCACCCATAGCTCCCCATAGGGCCCATGGCTGCCCCCTAGAGTCCCATAGGGCCCCATAGTGCCCCCTTGCGCCCCCTAGCGCCTATAGCTCCCCATAGTGCACCCTACCGCCCCCTAGCGCCCATAGCTCCCCATAGGGCCCCTAGCGCCCCATAGGGCCCATAGCTCCCCATGGGACCCCATAACTCCCCATAGGGCCCGAGCTGCCCCCTAGAGCCCCATAGCTCCCCCTAGCGCCCATAGCTTCCCATGGGCCCCATAGCTCCCCATAGGGCCCATAGCTGCCCCCTAGAGCCCCATAGCGCCATAGCTCCCCATGGGGCCCCATAGCTTCCCCATGGGGCCCATAATCTCCCCATAGTGCTCCCTAGCGCCCCCTAGCACCCATAGCTCCCCATAGGGCCCATAGCTGCCCCTTGAGCCCCCTAGCGCTCATAGAGCCCCATAGTGCTCCCTAGCGCCCCCTAGCGCCTATAGCTCCTCATAGGGCCCCATAGCTTCCCCATAGGGCCCATAAGCTCCCATAGTGCTCCCTAGCACCCCCTAGCACCCATAGCTCCCCATAGGGCCCATGGCTGCCCCCTAGAGTCCCATAGGGCCCCATAGTGCCCCCTTGCGCCCCTAGCGCCTATAGCTCCCCATAGTGCACCCTACCGCCCCCTAGCGCCCATAGCTCCCCATAGGGCCCCTAGCGCCCCATAGGGCCCATAGCTCCCCATGGGACCCCATAACTCCCCATAGGGCCCGAGCTGCCCCCTAGAGCCCCATAGGGCCCCATAGTGCCCCCTAGCGCCCCCTAGCGCCCATAGCTCCCCATAGGGCCCCTAGCGCCCCATAGGGCCCATAGCTCCCCATGGGACCCCATAACTCCCCATAGGGCCCGAGCTGCCCCCTAGAGCCCCATAGCGCCCATAGAGCCCCATAGTGCTCCCTAGCGCCCCCTAGCGCCCCTTGGGCCCCACTGACGCCCCCGTGTCTCTCCCCCCCCCCCCCCCCCCAGGCGCCATGTCCCACGAGAAGAGTTTCCTGGTGACGGCCGACGCCCCCCCGCCCCCCACCCCCGGCCCTTACGCTCCGCCCTACGCCGCCCCTCCGCCCCCCGGCTTCGTGCCGTACCCCCCTCCTCCCCCCCAATCCGTGGGGCCGTACCCGCCCCCCCCCTCGGGGCCGTACCCCCCCCCATCGGGGCCGTACCCCCCCCCCGGGCCGTACCCGCAAGGACCCTTCGCGCAGCCGCCCTACGCGCAGCCGCATCCCATGGTGCCCGGAGAGCAGCACTGTGAGTTGGGGGGGGGCTGGGGGGTCGGCTTACGGGGGGGGGGGGCGGTTATTGGGGGGGGGGTAGAGGAGCTGGAGGGGGGGGGGGGCTTATGAGGGGTGGGTTTATTGGGGTGGGGGGTCCCAGTGGGGGGGTGGCTCCGGGGGGTTGGGGGTCGCGGGGGGGCTGGGGTGGTTCCGGGCGGGGGGGGGGGTAGGGGGTGGGTCGGGAAGTTGGGAGCGTTGCGGCTGGGAACGGAGAATCCCAGCGGGGATCGGGGGGGGGGGGGGGGGGCACGGGGTCACACAGCGGGGGTCCTGCCGCCCCCCTCCCCTCCCCCCCCCTTCCCCTTCCCTCCCCCCCCCCTCCGCTTCCCTCCCCCCCCCTCCGTTGCCTCTCACCCCACCTTCCCTCCCCCCCCCTCCCCTTGCCCTCCCCCCCCTCCCCTTCCCTGCCCCCCCTTCCCCCCCCCTCCCCTTCCCCCCCTCCCCTTCCGTCCCCCCCTCCCCTCCTCTCCCCCCCCCTTCCCTCCCCCTCCCTCTCACCCCCCCCTTCCCTCCCCCCCTCTCTCTCCCCCCCCTTCCCCCCCCTTCCCCTTCCCACCCCCCCCTCCCCTACCCCCTCCCCCCCCCCTCCCCCTCCTCTCCCCCCCCCTTACCCTCCCCCCCTCCCTCTCCCCCCCCCTTCCCTCCCCCCCCTCTCTCTCCCCCCCCCCTTCCCCCCCCTTCCCCTTCCCTCCCCTTCCCTCCCCTACCTTCCCCCCCCCTCCCCTACCCTCCCCTTCCCTTCCCCCCCCCCTTCCTTCCCCCCCCTCCCCTTCCCCCCCCCTTCCCTCTACACCCCCCTTCCCTCCTCCCCTTCCCCTCCCCTTCCCTCCCCCCCCTCCCCTTCCCTCCCCCCCCTTCCCCTCCCTTCCCCTCCCCTCTGCCTCCTCCCCTTCCCTCTCCCCCCCCTTCCTTCCCCCTCCCCTCTCCCCTCCCTTCCCCTCCCCTCTCCCCCCCTCCCCTTCCCCTCCCCTCCCCCTCCCTCCCCCCCCTTCCCACCCCCCCCCCTCCCTTCCCCCCCCCTTCCCTCCCCCCCCTCCCCTTCCCACCCCCCCCATTCCCCTCCCTTCCCCTCCCCTCTCCCCCCTCCCCTTCCCTCTTCCCCCCCTTCCTTCCCCTCCCCTCTCCCCTCCCTTCCCCTCCCCTCTCGCCCCACCCCTTCCCTCCCCACCCCTTCCCTCCCCCCCCTTCCCACACCCCCCTTCACTCCCCCCCCCCTTCCCTCCCCCCCCACCCCTTCCTTCCCCCCCCTCCCCTCCTCTCCGCCTCCTTCCCTCACCCCCCCTCCCCTTCCTTCCCCCCCTTCCTTCCCCTCCCCTTCCCCTCCCTTCCCCTCCCCTCCTCCCCCTCCCCTTCCCCTCCCCTCCCCTTCCCCCCCCCCCACCCTCCCCCCCCCTCCCTTCCCTCTACGCCCCCCTTCCCTCCCCCCCCAACCCTCCCCACCCCACCCACTCTCCCCCCCTCCCCTCCCCTCCCCTCCCCTCTCCCCCCTCTCCTTCCTTCCCCCCTCTCCCCACTCCCCCCTCCTCCCCCCTCCCCCCCTCTTCCTTCCCCTCCCCTCTCCTCCCTCCCCTCCCCTCCCCTCCCTCCCCCTTCCCTCCCCCCCCTCCCCTTCCCCTCCCCTTCTCTCCCTCCTCTCCCCCCCCTTTCCCTCCCCCCCCTTCCCTCCCCCCCACCCCCGTTCCCCTCCCCGTTCCCCCCCCCTTCCCCCCCCCTCCCCTTCTCTTCCCTCCTCTCCCCCCCCTTTCCCTCCCCCCCCTTCCTCGCCCCCTCCCTTCCCTCTCCCCCTCTCATCCCCTCCCCTTCCTCCCCCCCTCCCTCCCCTCCCCTCCCCTCCCTTGCCTTCCCCTCCCCTCTCCCCCCTCCCCCCCCTTCCCTCCCCCCCTCCCCTTCCCCTCCCCTTCCCCTCCCTTCCCCTCCCCTTCTCTTCCCTTCCCTTCCCCTCCCCTTCCCTTCCCCTCCCCTCTCCCCCCCCCTTCCTTCCCCTCCCCTCCCCTTCCCCTCCCCTCCCCTTCCCTTCCCCGCTCTCCCTTCCCTCTCCCCCTCCCCTTCCCTCCCCTCCCCCCACCCTTCCCCCCTCCCCCCCTTCCCTCCCCCCCCTCCCCTCCCCTTCCCCTCCCCTCCCCTCTCCCCCCTCCCCTCCCCTTCCCTTCCCCACTCTCCCCTCCCGTCTCCACCCTCCCCATTCCCTCCCCCCCCTCTTCCCTCCCCTCCTCTTCCCCTCCCTTCCCCTTCCCTCCCCCCCTCCCCTTCCCTCCCCCCCCTCCCCTCTCCCCCTTCCCTCTCCCCCCTCCCCTTCCTTCCCCCCCTTCCCCCCCCCTTGTCCCCTTCCCTCCCCCCCCTCCCCTCCTCTCCCCCCCCTTCCCTCCCCTCCCTCCCCTCTCCCCCCTCCCCCCCCTTCCTTCCCCTCCCCTCTCCTCCCTCCCCTCCCCTCCCCTCCCCTCCCTCCCCCTTCCCTCCCCCCCTCCCCTTCCCCTCCCCTTCCCTTCCCCTCCCCTCTGCCCCCTCCCCCCCCTTCCCTCCCCCCCTCTCCCCGTTCCCCTCCCCGTTCCCCCCCCCTTCCCCCCCCCTCCCCTTCTCTTCCCTCCTCTCCCCCCCCTTTCCCTCCCCCCCCTTCCCTCGCCCCCTCCCTTCCCTCTCCCCCTCTCCCCCCCTCCCCTTCTCTCCCCCCCTTCCCTCCCTCCCCCCACCCTTCCCTCCCCTCCCCCCTTCCCTCCCCCCCCTCCTCTTCCCCTCCCCTTCCCTTCCCCTCCCCTCTCCCCCCTCCCCCCCCCTCCCCTCCCTCCCCCCACCCTCCCCTCCCCTCCCTCCCCCTTCCCTCCCCCCCCTCCCTCCGCCTTCCCTCCCCCCCCCCCCCTTCCCCTCCCCTTCCCTCCCCCCCCTCCCCCCCTTCCCTCCCCCCCCTCCCCCCCTTCCCTCCCCCCCCCTCCTCTTCCCTTCCCCTCCCCTCCCCTCTCCCCCCTCCCCTCCCCTTCTGCTCCCCTCTCCCCCCTCCCCACCCTTCCTTTCCCTCCCCTCCCCTCCCCTTCCCTGCTCTCCCTTCCCTCTCCCTCCCTTCCTTCCCCTCCCCTTCCCCTCCCCTCCCCTCTCCCCCCTCCCCCCCCTTCCTTCCCCTCCCCTCCCCTCTCCTCCCTCCCCTCCCCTCCCCTCCCTCCCCCTTCCCTCCCCCCCCTCCCCTTCCCCTCCCCTTCCCTTCCCCTCCCCTCTGCCCTTCCCCCCCCTTCCCTCCCCCCCTCTCCCCGTTCCCCTCCCCGTTCCCCCCCCCTTCCCCCCCCCTCCCCTTCTCTTCCCTCCTCTCCCCCCCCTTTCCCTCCCCCCCCCTTCCCTCCCCTCCCTCCCCCCCCTCCCCTCCCTCCCCCCACCCTCCCCTCCCCTCCCTCCCCCTTCCCTCCCCCCCCTCCCCTTCCCCTCCCCTTCCCCTTTCCTCCCCCCCCTCCCCTTTCCCTCCCCCCCCTCCCCTTTCACTCCCCCCCTCCCCTCCCCTCCCCTCCCCGTCCCCCCCCCCCGTTCCCGTTCGCAGCCCCTCTGCACAGCGCGTACCACGAGGACGGCCCGCCCTCCTACTACGAGCCGCAGGATTTCCCCGCCGCGCGATGGGACCGCGCCGTGCGCCAGGCCTTCGTCAGAAAGGTGCCCCCGGGACCCCCCCCCTTCCCTCCCCCTCCTCCGTGTCACCCCCGCCTCGCCGCCCCCACGTCCCCCCCGCCCCCCCCCCCCCCGTTGACCCCCACCCCTGCTTTTCCCTCCCCCCCACCCCCCGTTGAGCCCCGTATCCCTACTGCGCCCCTTCCCCCCCACCCCCAACATCGCGACGCCCTCCTGCATTATCACAGCCCCCTTCCCCCCGTGTCGTGACTCCCCCCGTGTCGTGACATGTTGCGATGACCCCCGCGTAACGACCGCTCCCGTGTCGCGACCGGCTGCTGGTGCGATGCCTCCTCCCCCGTGATCCCACCCCGTGTGGCCACACACCCCCTTCATCACGATCCTTCCGTGTCGCCGCACCCCCCCTCCCCCCACGTCGTGACTCTCGCCATGTCGCGACATCCCCTCCTCCCCCCCCCCCTCCGTGAACGCCGCTCCAAATGAAAGCTCTGCATTCCGGCCGGCCCCGCCGGCAGCGCTTTATTTCCTATATCGCAACGGCGGCGCTGCGCCCCCTGCTGGCCGGACAAAGTTTGTGCACGGCCACGAGATGCGTCCCCCACATCACATGTGTGCGGCGGGCCGGGTGCTGATTGGCTGAGCGTCTCAGTGGGCGCTGATTGGCTGAGCGTCTCAGTGGGTGCTGATTGGCTGGGTGTCTCAGTGGGCGCTGATTGGCTGGGCGTCTCAGTGGGCGCTGATTGGCTGAGCGTCTCAATGGGCGCTGATTGGCTGAGCGTCTCAGTGGGCGCTGATTGGCTGAGCGTCTCAGTGGGCGCTGATTGGCTGAGCGTCTCAGTGGCACCGATTGGCTGGGCGTCTCAGTGGGCGCTGATTGGCTGGGCGTCTCAGTGGGCGCTGATTGGCTGAGCGTCTCAGAGGGGGCTGATTGGCTGAGCGTCTCAGTGGGCGCTGATTGGCTGGGCGTCTCAGTGGGCGCTGATTGGCTGAGCGTCTCAGTGGCACCGATTGGCTGGGCGTCTCAGTGGGCGCTGATTGGTTGAGCGTCTCAGTGGCCGCTGATTGGCTGGGCGTCTCAGTGGCCGCTGATTGGCTGAGCGTCTCAGTGGGCGCTGATTGGCTGAGTGTCTCAGTGGCACCGATTGGCTGAGCGTCTCAGTGGGCGCTGATTGGCTGGGCGTCTCAGTCGGCGCTGATTGGCTGAGTGTCTCAGTGGGCACTGATTGGCTGAGCGTCTCAGTGGGCGCTGATTGGCTGAGCGTCTCAGTGGGCGCTGATTGGCTGAGTGTCTCAGTGGCACCGATTGGCTGAGCGTCTCAGTGGGTGCTGATTGGCTGAGCGTCTCAGTGGGCGCTGATTGGCTGAGCGTCTCAGTGGGCACTGATTGGCTGGGCGTCTCAGTGGGCGCTGATTGGCTGAGCGTCTCAGTGGGCGCTGATTGGCTGGGCGTCTCAGTGGGCGCTGATTGGCTGGGCGTCTCAGTCGGCGCTGATTGGCTGAGTGTCTCAGTGGGCACTGATTGGCTGAGCGTCTCAGTGGGCGCTGATTGGCTGAGCGTCTCAGTGGCGCTGATTGGCTGAGCGTCTCAGTGGCACCGATTGGCTGAGCGTCTCAGTGGGCGCTGATTGGCTGAGCGTCTCAGTGGCACCGATTGGCTGGGCGTCTCAGTGGGCGCTGATTGGCTGAGCGTCTCAGTGGCACCGATTGGCTGAGCGTCTCAGTGGGCGCTGATTGGCTGGGCGTCTCAGTGGGCGCTGATTGGCTGGGCGTCTCAGTGGGCACTGATTGGCTGAGCGTCTCAGTGGGCGCTGATTGGCTGAGCGTCTCAGTGGGCGCTGATTGGCTGGGCGTCTCAGTGGGCGCTGATTGGCTGGGCGTCTCAGTGGGCGCTGATTGGCTGGGCGTCTCAGTGGGCGCTGATTGGCTGAGCGTCTCAGTGGCACCGATTGGCTGGGCGTCTCAGTGGGCGCTGATTGGCTGGGCGTCTCAGTGGGCGCTGATTGGCTGAGCGTCTCAGTGGGCGTTGATTGGCTGGGCGTCTCAGTGGGCGCTGATTGGCTGGGCGTCTCAGTGGGTGCTGATTGGCTGGGCGTCTCAGTGGCACCGATTGGCTGGGCGTCTCAGTGGGCGTTGATTGGCTGGGCGTCTCAGTGGGTGCTGATTGGCTGGGTGTCTCAGTGGGCGCTGATTGGCTGGGCGTCTCAGTGGGCGCTGATTGGCTGAGCGTCTCAATGGGCGCTGATTGGCTGAGCGTCTCAGTGGGCGCTAATTGGCTGAGCGTCTCAGTGGGCGCTGATTGGCTGAGCGTCTCAGTGGCACCGATTGGCTGAGCGTCTCAGTGGGCGCTGATTGGCTGAGCGTCTCAGAGGGGGCTGATTGGCTGAGCGTCTCAGTGGGCGCTGATTGGCTGGGCGTCTCAGTGGGCGCTGATTGGCTGAGCGTCTCAGTGGCACCGATTGGCTGGGCGTCTCAGTGGGCGCTGATTGGTTGAGCGTCTCAGTGGCCGCTGATTGGCTGGGCGTCTCAGTGGCCGCTGATTGGCTGAGCGTCTCAGTGGGCGCTGATTGGCTGAGTGTCTCAGTGGCACCGATTGGCTGAGCGTCTCAGTGGGCGCTGATTGGCTGGGCGTCTCAGTCGGCGCTGATTGGCTGAGTGTCTCAGTGGGCACTGATTGGCTGAGCGTCTCAGTGGGCGCTGATTGGCTGAGCGTCTCAGTGGGCGCTGATTGGCTGAGTGTCTCAGTGGCACCGATTGGCTGAGCGTCTCAGTGGGTGCTGATTGGCTGAGCGTCTCAGTGGGCGCTGATTGGCTGAGCGTCTCAGTGGGCACTGATTGGCTGGGCGTCTCAGTGGGCGCTGATTGGCTGGGCGTCTCAGTCGGCGCTGATTGGCTGAGTGTCTCAGTGGGCACTGATTGGCTGAGCGTCTCAGTGGGCGCTGATTGGCTGAGCGTCTCAGTGGCGCTGATTGGCTGAGCGTCTCAGTGGCACCGATTGGCTGAGCGTCTCAGTGGGCGCTGATTGGCTGAGCGTCTCAGTGGCACCGATTGGCTGGGCGTCTCAGTGGGCGCTGATTGGCTGAGCGTCTCAGTGGCACCGATTGGCTGAGCGTCTCAGTGGGCGCTGATTGGCTGGGCGTCTCAGTGGGCGCTGATTGGCTGGGCGTCTCAGTGGGCACTGATTGGCTGAGCGTCTCAGTGGGCGCTGATTGGCTGAGCGTCTCAGTGGGCGCTGATTGGCTGGGCGTCTCAGTGGGCGCTGATTGGCTGGGCGTCTCAGTGGGCGCTGATTGGCTGGGCGTCTCAGTGGGCGCTGATTGGCTGAGCGTCTCAGTGGCACCGATTGGCTGGGCGTCTCAGTGGGCGCTGATTGGCTGGGCGTCTCAGTGGGCGCTGATTGGCTGAGCGTCTCAGTGGGCGCTGATTGGCTGAGCGTCTCAGTGGGCGTTGATTGGCTGGGCGTCTCAGTGGCACCGATTGGCTGAGCGTCTCAGTGGGCGCTGATTGGCTGGGCGTCTCAGTGGGCGCTGATTGGCTGGGCGTCTCAGTGGCACCGATTGGCTGGGCGTCTCAGTGGGCGCTGATTGGCTGGGCGTCTCAGTGGGCGCTGATTGGCTGAGCGTCTCAGTGGGCGCTGATTGGCTGAGCGTCTCAGTGGGCGCTGATTGGCTGAGCGTCTCAGTGGCACCGATTGGCTGAGCGTCTCAGTGGGCGCTGATTGGCTGGGCGTCTCAGTGGCACCGATTGGCTGGGCGTCTCAGTGGCACCGATTGGCTGAGCGTCTCAGTGGGCGCTGATTGGCTGGGCGTCTCAGTGGGCGCTGATTGGCTGAGCGTCTCAGTGGGCGCTGATTGGCTGAGCGTCTCAGTGGCACCGATTGGCTGAGCGTCTCAGTGGGCGCTGATTGGCTGGGCGTCTCAGTGGGCGCTGATTGGCTGAGCGTCTCAGTGGCACCGATTGGCTGAGCGTCTCAGTGGGCGCTGATTGGCTGAGCGTCTCAGTGGCACCGATTGGCTGGGCGTCTCAGTGGGCGCTGATTGGCTGAGCGTCTCAGTGGCACCGATTGGCTGAGCGTCTCAGTGGGCGCTGATTGGCTGGGCGTCTCAGTGGGCGCTGATTGGCTGGGCGTCTCAGTGGGCACTGATTGGCTGAGCGTCTCAGTGGGCGCTGATTGGCTGAGCGTCTCAGTGGGCGCTGATTGGCTGGGCGTCTCAGTGGGCGCTGATTGGCTGGGCGTCTCAGTGGGCGCTGATTGGCTGGGCGTCTCAGTGGGCGCTGATTGGCTGAGCGTCTCAGTGGCACCGATTGGCTGGGCGTCTCAGTGGGCGCTGATTGGCTGGGCGTCTCAGTGGGCGCTGATTGGCTGAGCGTCTCAGTGGGCGCTGATTGGCTGAGCGTCTCAGTGGGCGTTGATTGGCTGGGCGTCTCAGTGGGCGCTGATTGGCTGGGCGTCTCAGTGGGCGTTGATTGGCTGAGCGTCTCAGTGGGCGCTGATTGGCTGAGCGTCTCAGTGGGCGCTGATTGGCTGAGCGTCTCAGTGGGCGCTGATTGGCTGGGCGTCTCAGTGGGCGCTGATTGGCTGAGCGTCTCAGTGGCACCGATTGGCTGAGCGTCTCAGTGGCACCGATTGGCTGAGCGTCTCAGTGGGCGCTGATTGGCTGAACGTCTCAGTGGGCACCGATTGGCTGAGCGTCTCAGTGGGCGCTGATTGGCTGGGCGTCTCAGTGGCACCGATTGGCTGGGCGTCTCAGTGGGCGTTGATTGGCTGGGCGTCTCAGTGGGCGCTGATTGGCTGAGCGTCTCAGTGGGTGCTGATTGGCTGAGCGTCTCAGTGGGCGCTGATTGGCTGGGCGTCTCAGTGGCACCGATTGGCTGGGCGTCTCAGTGGGCGTTGATTGGCTGGGCGTCTCAGTGGGCGCTGATTGGCTGAGCGTCTCAGTGGGCGCTGATTGGCTGGGCGTCTCAGTGGCACCGATTGGCTGGGCGTCTCAGTGGGCGTTGATTGGCTGGGCGTCTCAGTGGGCGCTGATTGGCTGGGCGTCTCAGTGGGCGCTGATTGGCTGGGCGTCTCAGTGGGCGCTGATTGGCTGAGCGTCTCAGTGGCACCGATTGGCTGAGCGTCTCAGTGGGCGCTGATTGGCTGGGCGTCTCAGTGGGCGTTGATTGGCTGGGCGTCTCAGTGGGCGCTGATTGGCTGAGTGTCTCAGTGGGCGCTGATTGGCTGGGCGTCTCAGTGGGCGCTGATTGGCTGAGCGTCTCAGTGGGCGCTGATTGGCTGAGCGTCTCAGTGGGCGTTGATTGGCTGAGCGTCTCAGTGGCACCGATTGGCTGAGCGTCTCAGTGGGCGCTGATTGGCTGGGCGTCTCAGTGGGCGCTGATTGGCTGGGCGTCTCAGTGGCACCGATTGGCTGGGCGTCTCAGTGGGCGCTGATTGGCTGGGCGTCTCAGTGGGCGCTGATTGGCTGAGCGTCTCAGTGGGCGCTGATTGGCTGAGCGTCTCAGTGGGCGCTGATTGGCTGAGCGTCTCAGTGGCACCGATTGGCTGAGCGTCTCAGTGGGCGCTGATTGGCTGGGCGTCTCAGTGGCACCGATTGGCTGAGCGTCTCAGTGGGCGCTGATTGGCTGGGCGTCTCAGTGGGCGCTGATTGGCTGAGCGTCTCAGTGGGCGCTGATTGGCTGAGCGTCTCAGTGGCACCGATTGGCTGAGCGTCTCAGTGGGCGCTGATTGGCTGGGCGTCTCAGTGGGCGCTGATTGGCTGGGCGTCTCAGTGGGCGCTGATTGGCTGAGCGTCTCAGTGGCACCGATTGGCTGAGCGTCTCAGTGGGCGCTGATTGGCTGGGCGTCTCAGTGGGCGCTGATTGGCTGAGCGTCTCAGTGGGCGCTGCTGCCGTCTGTGGGTCCGGGCTCCGGCGGCAGCCTGTGGTCCGTCGGTCCGTTCTGGGCGTTTCCAAGGCGATATGGAGGGCGACTCCCCCATATCGCGACATTCCTCCTACATCACGAGCCTCACCATGTCGCGACACCCGCCTATTTCACAACTCCCTCACCCATATCACGACATACTCCCTAATCACAACAGCCCTGCCGTGTCATGACATCACTCCCACGTCACGCTGCCCGTGTCGTGACGCTGCCCCTGTCGTGACATTCCCCCTATGTCATGGTGCGCACCCATGTCACAGCATTGCTCCCATATCGCAACATCTCCTCCCATCAGACCCCCCCCATGTCACACCCTCCATGTCACGACACTCCCCGCATCGTGACATCCACCATGTCATCACACCCCACTCCATGTTGTGATACCCTCCCCACATCACGACCCCCCCTCCCATGTCGCAATACCGTCCCATGTCGTGGCATCCCCTCCACGTCATGACAACCCCCACATCACGATGACCCCCCCATATCGCAACCCCCCATGTCGCAACACCCCCGTTACAGTTCCCTCCATCACGACATCCCATATGTCACGACATTTCCCCCCCACACACCATGACCCCCCCATATTGTAGCCCCCCATCACAATGCCCCCTATGTCACAACTTCACGTCCCCCCACAACCCTTCTCATGTCCTGGCATACCCACATATCGTGACAACTGTTCTCCATATTGTGACACCCCCATATCACGACCATCCATCTCATATCGCAACCCCCCTGTGTTGTGACCCTCCCCATATCGTGACACCCCCCCCATATCGCGACCATCTCTCCCCTATCACAACCTTCCTGTGTCATGACCCTCCCCATATCGTGACACTCCGCCATATCGCGACCATCCGTCCCATATCACAACCCCCCCGTGTTGTGACCCTCCCCATATCGTGACACCCCCCCATATCACACCCATCCCTCCCCTATCGCAACCCCCCCGTGTCGTGAACCTCCCCATATCGTGACACCCCCCCCATATCGCGACCATGCATCTCATATCGCAACTCCCCTGTGTTGTGATCCTCCCCATATCGTGACACCCCCCCCATATCGCGACCATCTCTCCCCTATCACAACCTTCCTGTGTCATGATACTCCCCATATCGTGACACTCCGCCATATTGCGACCGTCTGTCCCATATCGCAACCTCCCTGTGTCATGACACTCCCCATATCGTGACACCCTGCCATATTGCGACCATCCATTCCATATCGCTACCTCCCCGTGTCGTGATCCTCCCCATATTGTGACACTCCCCATATCACGACCATCCGTCCCATATCGCAACCTCCCTGTGTCATGACCCTCCCCATATCGTGACACCCTGCCATATCGCGACAACCTGCCATATCGCGACCATCCATTCCATTTCGCAACCCCTCATGTCTTGACACCCTGCCATATCACGACCATCCCTCCCCTATCGCACCCCCCGTGTCGTGCCCGTCCCCTCACGTCGCGACCCTCCCCATCCCGTGACGCCCCGCCACATCATGACCATCCCTCCCGTATCGCGACCCCCCCCATATCCCAACCCCCCCCAATATCGTGACCCCCCCATATCGCAACACCCCCATATTGCAACCCCCCCATATCGTGACCCCCCCATATCCCGACCCCCCCCATATCGCGACCCCCCCCCATATCCCGACCCCCCCATATCATGACCCCCCCCCATATCATGACCCCCCCATATCGTGACCCCCCAATATCGCAACCCCCCCATATCGCAACCCCCCCCATATCGCAAACCCCCCCCATATCCCGACCCCGCCCCCCATATCGCGACCCCCCCCCCATATCCCAACCCCCCCAATATCGCGACCCCCCCCCATATCGCGACCCCCCCCCATATCCCAACCCCCCCCAATATCGCGACCCCCCCCCATATGGTGATCCCCCCCATATCCCAACCCCCCCCCAATATCGCGACCCCCCCCATATCGCGACCCCCCCCCCATATCCCAACCCCCCCCAATATCGCGACCCCCCCCATATCGCGACCCCCCCCCATATCCCAACCCCCCCCAATATCGCGACCCCCCCCCATATGGTGATCCCCCCCATATCCCAACCCCCCCCAATATCGCGACCCCCCCCCATATCGCGACCCCCCCCCATATCCCAACCCCCCCAATATTGCGACCCCCCCCCATATCGCGACCCCCCCCCATATCCCAACCCCCCCCAATATCGCGACCCCCCCCCATATCGCGACCCCCCCCATATCCCAACCCCCCCAATATCGCGACCCCCCCCCCATATCGCGCCCCCTCCCCCCCCCCACATCACGCCCCCCGCTCTGCCCCCCCCCCCCGCAGGTGTTCGCGGTGCTGACGCTGCAGCTGCTGGTGACGCTGGCCTTCGTGGCCGCCTTCACGTTCGCGGGCGGCGTCCGCGCCTTCGTGCGGCGCCACGTCTGGTCCTACTACGTCTCCTACGGCGTCTTCTTCGCCTCCCTCATCGCCCTCAGCTGCTGCGGGGAGCTGCGCCGCAAGCACCCCTGGAACATCGTCGCCCTGGTGAGTGGCGCCCAGCGCCGCGCAGCTGGGGAGCTGTGGGGCCTCTGGGGAGCTGTAGGGCCCTATGGGGAGCTGTGGGGCCTGTGGGGAGTTATGGGCACTAGGGGGCGCTAGGGAGCACTATGGGGCCCTATGGGGAGCTGTGGGGCCTATGGGGAGCTATGGCCACCAGGGGGCGCTAGGGAGCACTATGGGGCCCTATGGAGAGCTATGGACCCCATGGGGAGCTATGGGCACTAGAGGGAGCTAGGGAGCACTATGGGGCCCTATGGGGCTCTAGGGGGCAGCTATGGGGCCATATGGGGAGCTATAGGCGCTAGGGGGCGCTAGGGAGCACTATGGGGCCCTATGGGGCTCTAGGGGGCAGCTATGGGGCCGTATGGGGAGCTATGGGGAATATGGGAAGCTATGGGGCCGTATGGGGAGCTGTGGGGCCTATGGGGAGCTGTGGGGCCTGTGGGGAGCTGTGGGGCCGTATGGGGAGCTGTGGGGCCTGTGGGGAGCTGTGGGGCCGTATGGGGAGCTGTGGGGCCTATGGGGAGCTGTGGGGCCGTATGGGGAGCTGTGGGGCCTGTGGGGAGCTGTGGGGCCTATGGGGAGCTGTGGGGCCCTATGGGGAGCTGTGGAGCCTGTGGGGAGTTATGGGCACTAGGGGGCGCTAGGGAGCACTATGGGGCCCTATGGGGCTGTAGGGGGCAGCTATGGGGCCGTATGGGGAGCTATGGGGCCTATGGGGAGCTATGGGACCCATGGGGAGCTATGGGGCCTATGGGGAGCTGTGGGCACTAGGGGGCGCTAGGGAGCACTATGGGGCCCTATGGGGCTCTAGGGGGCAGCTATGGGGCCATATGGGGAGCTGTGGGGCCTATGGGGAGCTGTGGGCACTAGGGGGAGCTAGGGAGCACTATGGGGCCCTATGGGGCTCTAGGGGGCAGCTGTGGGGCCATATGGGGAGCTGTGGGGCCTATGGGGAGCTGTGGGCACTAGGGGGCGCTAGGGAGCACTATGGGGCCCTATGGGGACCTGTGGGGCCTGTGGGGAGCTGTGGGCACTAGGGGGCGCTAGGGAGAACTATGGGGCCCTATGGGGAGCTGTGGGGCCTATGGGGAGCTGTGGGCACTAGGGGGCGCTAGGGAGAACTATGGGGCCCTATGGGGACCTGTGGGGCCTGTGGGGAGCTGTGGGCACTAGGGGGCGCTAGGGAGCACTATGGGGCCCTATGGGGAGCTGTGGGGCCTATGGGGAGCTATGGGGCCGTATGGGGAGCGATGGGGCCTATAAGGAGCTATGGGGCCTATGGGGAGCTATGGGCACTAGGGGGCGGTAGGGAGCACTATGGGGCCCTATGGGGCTCTAGGGGGCAGCTATGGGGCCTATGGGGAGCTGTGGGACCTATGGGGAGCTATGGGGCCTATGGGGAGCTATGGGCACTAGGGGGCGCTAGGGAGAACTATGGGGCCCTATGGGGAGCTGTGGGGCCTGTGGGGAGCTGTGGGCACTAGGGGGCGCTAGGGAGCACTATGGGGCCCTATGGGGAGCTGTGGGGCCTGTGGGGAGCTGTGGGCACTAGGGGGCGCTAGGGAGAACTATGGGGCCCTATGGGGCTCTAGGGGGCAGCTATGGGGCCATATGGGGAGCTGTGGGCACTAGGGGGCGCTAGGGAGCACTATGGGGCCCTATGGGGCTCTAGGGGGCAGCTATGGGGCCATATGGGGAGCTGTGGGCACTAGGGGGCGCTAGGGAGCACTATGGGGCCCTATGGGGAGCTGTGGGGCCTGTGGGGAGCTGTGGGCACTAGGGGGCGCTAGGGAGAACTATGGGGCCCTATGGGGAGCTGTGGGGCCTATGGGGAGCTGTGGGGCCGTATGGGGAGCTGTGGGGCCCTATGGGGAGATGTGGGGCCGTATGGGAAGCTGTGGGGCCTAGGGGGAGCTGTGGGGCCTATGGGGAGCTGTGGAGCCTGTGGGGAGTTATGGGCACTAGGGGGCGCTAGGGAGAACTATGGGGCCCTATGGGGCTGTAGGGGGCAGCTATGGGGCCGTATGGGGAGCTATGGGGCCTATGGGGAGCTATGAGGCCGTATGGGGAGCTATGGGGCCTATGGGGAGCTGTGGGGCCGTATGGGGAGCTATGGGGCCTATGGGGAGTTATGGGGCCTGTGGGGAACTGTGGGGCCTATGGGGAGCTGTGGGGCCTGTGGGGAGTTATGGGCACTAGGGGGCGCTAGGGAGCACTATGGGGCCCTATGGGGCTCTAGGGGGCAGCTATGGGGCCGTATGGGGAGCTATGGGGCCTATGGGGAGCTGTGGGGCCGTATGGGGAGCTATGGGGCCGTATGGGGAGCTATGGGCACTAGGGGGCGGTAGGGAGCACTATGGGGCCCTATGGGGAGCAATGGGCGCTAGAGGGCGCTAGGGAGCACTATGGCGAGCTTATGGGCCCAATGGGGAAGCTATGGGGAGCTATGAGCACTAGGGGGCGCTAGGGAGCACTATGAGGCCCTATGGGGCTCTAGGGGGCAGCTATGGGGCCGTATGGGGAGCTATGGGGCCTATGGGGAGCTGTGGGGCCGTATGGGGAGCTGTGGGGCCTGTGGGGAGCTGTGGGGCCTATGGGGAGCTGTGGGGCCCTATGGGGAGCTGTGGAGCCTGTGGGGAGTTATGGGCACTAGGGGGCGCTAGGGAGCACTATGGGGCCCTATGGGGCTGTAGGGGGCAGCTATGGGGCCGTATGGGGAGCTATGGGGCCTATGGGGAGCTATGGGACCCATGGGGAGCTATGGGGCCTATGGGGAGCTGTGGGCACTAGGGGGCGCTAGGGAGCACTATGGGGCCCTATGGGGCTCTAGGGGGCAGCTATGGGGCCATATGGGGAGCTGTGGGGCCTATGGGGAGCTGTGGGCACTAGGGGGAGCTAGGGAGCACTATGGGGCCCTATGGGGCTCTAGGGGGCAGCTGTGGGGCCATATGGGGAGCTGTGGGGCCTATGGGGAGCTGTGGGCACTAGGGGGCGCTAGGGAGCACTATGGGGCCCTATGGGGACCTGTGGGGCCTGTGGGGAGCTGTGGGCACTAGGGGGCGCTAGGGAGAACTATGGGGCCCTATGGGGAGCTGTGGGGCCTATGGGGAGCTGTGGGCACTAGGGGGCGCTAGGGAGAACTATGGGGCCCTATGGGGACCTGTGGGGCCTGTGGGGAGCTGTGGGCACTAGGGGGCGCTAGGGAGCACTATGGGGCCCTATGGGGAGCTGTGGGGCCTATGGGGAGCTATGGGGCCGTATGGGGAGCGATGGGGCCTATAAGGAGCTATGGGGCCTATGGGGAGCTATGGGCACTAGGGGGCGGTAGGGAGCACTATGGGGCCCTATGGGGCTCTAGGGGGCAGCTATGGGGCCTATGGGGAGCTGTGGGACCTATGGGGAGCTATGGGGCCTATGGGGAGCTATGGGCACTAGGGGGCGCTAGGGAGCACTATGGGGCCCTATGGGGAGCTGTGGGGCCTGTGGGGAGCTGTGGGCACTAGGGGGCGCTAGGGAGAACTATGGGGCCCTATGGGGCTCTAGGGGGCAGCTATGGGGCCATATGGGGAGCTGTGGGCACTAGGGGGCGCTAGGGAGCACTATGGGGCCCTATGGGGCTCTAGGGGGCAGCTATGGGGCCATATGGGGAGCTGTGGGCACTAGGGGGCGCTAGGGAGCACTATGGGGCCCTATGGGGAGCTGTGGGGCCTGTGGGGAGCTGTGGGCACTAGGGGGCGCTAGGGAGCACTATGGGGCCCTATGGGGAGCTGTGGGGCCTGTGGGGAGCTGTGGGCACTAGGGGGCGCTAGGGAGAACTATGGGGCCCTATGGGGAGCTGTGGGGCCTATGGGGAGCTGTGGGGCCGTATGGGGAGCTGTGGGGCCCTATGGGGAGATGTGGGGCCGTATGGGAAGCTGTGGGGCCTAGGGGGAGCTGTGGGGCCTATGGGGAGCTGTGGAGCCTGTGGGGAGTTATGGGCACTAGGGGGCGCTAGGGAGAACTATGGGGCCCTATGGGGCTGTAGGGGGCAGCTATGGGGCCGTATGGGGAGCTATGGGGCCTATGGGGAGCTATGAGGCCGTATGGGGAGCTATGGGGCCTATGGGGAGCTGTGGGGCCGTATGGGGAGCTATGGGGCCTATGGGGAGTTATGGGGCCTGTGGGGAACTGTGGGGCCTATGGGGAGCTGTGGGGCCTGTGGGGAGTTATGGGCACTAGGGGGCGCTAGGGAGCACTATGGGGCCCTATGGGGCTCTAGGGGGCAGCTATGGGGCCGTATGGGGAGCTATGGGGCCTATGGGGAGCTGTGGGGCCGTATGGGGAGCTATGGGGCCGTATGGGGAGCTATGGGCACTAGGGGGCGGTAGGGAGCACTATGGGGCCCTATGGGGAGCAATGGGCGCTAGAGGGCGCTAGGGAGCACTATGGCGAGCTTATGGGCCCAATGGGGAAGCTATGGGGAGCTATGAGCACTAGGGGGCGCTAGGGAGCACTATGAGGCCCTATGGGGCTCTAGGGGGCAGCTATGGGGCCGTATGGGGAGCTATGGGCCCTATGGGGAGCTATGGGGAGCTATGGGGAATACGGGGAGCTATGGGCACTAGGGGGCGGTAGGGAGCACTATGGGGCCTATGGGGCTCTAGGGGGCAGCTATGGGGCCATATGGGGAGCTATGGGGCCTATGGGGAGCTATGAGGCCATATGGGGAGCTGTGGGGCCGTATGGGGAGCTATGGGGCCTATGGGGAGCTATGGGGCCTATGGGGAGATGTGGGGTCTGTGGGGAGCTGTGGGGCCGTATGGGGAGCTATGGGGCCTGTGGGGGAGCTATGGGGCCGTATGGGGAGCTGTCGGGCCTATGGGGAGCTATGGGCACTAGGGGGCGCTAGGGAGCACTATGGGGCCCTATGGGGAGCGATGGGGCCGTATGGGGAGCTATGGGGCCTGTGGGGAGCTGTGGGGCCTAAGGGGTGCTGTGGGGCCTATGGGGAGCTATGGGGCCTATGGCGAGCTGTGGGGCCTATGGGGAGCTGTGGGGCCCTATGGGGAGATGTGGGGCCGTATGGGGAGCTGTGGGGCCTAGGGGGAGCTGTGGGGCCTAGGGGGAGCTATGGGGCCTATGGGGAGCGATGGGGCCGTATGGGGAGCTATGGGGCCTATGGGGCGCTAGGGAGCACTATGGGGCCCTATGGGGCTCTAGGGGGCAGCTATGGGGCCATATGGGGAGCTATGGGGCCTATGGGGAGCTATGAGGCCGTATGGGGAGCTATGGGGCCTATGGGGAGCTGTGGGGCCTATGGGGAGCTATGGGCACTAGGGGGCGCTAGGGAGCACTATGGGGCCATATGGGGAGCTATGGGGCCTATGGGGAGCGATGGGGCCGTATGGGGAGCTATGGGGCCTATGGGGAGCTATGGGCACTAGGGGGCGCTAGGGAGCACTATGGGGCCCTATGAGGAGCTATGGCCACCAGGGGGCGCTAGGGAGCACTATGGGGAACTTATGGGCCCTATGGGGAATCTATGGGGCCCTATGGGGAGCTATGGGCGCTAGGGGGCGCTAGGGAGCACTATGGGACCCTATGGGGCTCTAGGGGGCAGCTAGGGCCCTATGGGGAGCTATGGGGCCCCATGGGGAGCTATTGGCGCTAGGGGGCGCTAGGGAGCGCTATGGGGCCCTATGGTGCCCTATGGTGCTCTAGGGGGCAGCTATGGGCCCTAAGGGGAGCTATGGGCACTAGGGGACGCTAGGGAGCACTATGGGGAGCTTATGGGCCCTATGGGGAAGCTATGGGGTGCTAGGGAGCCCTATGTGGCCCTATGGGGAGCTATGGGGCTCTAGGGGGCAGCTATGGGCCCTATGGGGAGCTATTGGTGCTAGGGGCGGCTGTGGGCGCTAGGGGGCGCTGCCAGTACAAGATGGCCCCAAAGTGGGGGGCTGGGGGCAGTGGGGCAGAGCAGAACCCCAAATGGGTGTCCCTGTATGGGATGGGGGCACCTATGGGGTGTGGGGTGTCCTATATGGGATGTGGGCACCTATGGGATGTGGGGTGTCCCTATATGGGATGGGGGCACCTATGGGGTTTGGGGTGTCCTGTATGGAATGGGGGCACCTATGAGGTGTGGGGTGTCCTATATGGGATGGGGGCACCTATGGGGTGTGGGGTGTCCCTATATGGGATGGGGGCACCTATGGGGTGTGGGGTGTCCTATATGGGATGGGGTCACCTATGGGGTGTGGGGTGTCCCTGTATGGGATGGGGGCACCTATGGGGTGTGGGGTGTCCTATATGGGATGGGGTCACCTATGGGGTATGGGGTGTCCTATATGGGATGGGGGCACCTATGGGGTGTTCCTATATGGGATGGGGGCACCTATGGGGTGTCCCTATATGGGATGGGGGCACCTATGGGGTGTTCCTATATGGGATGGGGGCACCTATGGGGTGTCCTATATGGGATGGGGGCACCTATGGGGTGTTCCTATATGGGATGGGGGCACCTATGGGGTGTCCCTATATGGGATGGTGGCACCTATGGGGTGTGGGGTGTCCCTATATGGGATGCGGGCACCTATGGGGTGTGGGGTGTCCCTGTATGGGATGGGGGCATCTATGGGGTGTGGGGTATCCTATATGGGATGGTGGCACCTATGGGGTGTTCCTATATGGGATGGGGGCGCCTATGGGGTGTCCCTATATGGGATGGTGGCACCTATGGGGTGTTCCTATATGGGATGGTGGCACCTATGGGGTGTCCCTATATGGGATGGGGGCACCTATGGGGTGTGGGGTGACCCTATATGGAATGGGGGCACCTATGGGGTGTGGGGTGTCCTGTATGGGATGGGGGCACCTATGGGGTGTCCCTGTATGGGATGGGGGCACCTATGGGGTGTGGGGTGTCCCTGTATGGGATTGGGGCACCTATGGGGTGTAGGGTATCCTATATGGGATGGGGGCACCTATGGGGTGTCCCTATATGGGATGGGGGCACCTATGGGGTGTGGGGTGTCCCTGTATGTGATGGGGGCACCTATGGGGTGTGGGGTGTCCCTGTATGGGATGGGGGCACCTATGGGGTGTGGGGTGTCCTATATGGGATGGGGGCAGCTATGGGGTGTGGGGTGTTCTATATGGGATGGGGGCACCTATGGGGTGTGGGGTATCCTATATGGGATGGGGGCACCTATGGGGTGTGGGGTGTCCCTGTATGGGATGGGGGCACCTATGGGGTGTGGGGTGTCCCTGTATGGGATGGGGGCTCCTATGGGGTGTGGGGTGTCCCTGTATGGGATGGGGGCACCTATGGGGTGTAGGGTGTCCCTATATGGGATGGGGGCACCTATGGGGTGTGGGGTGTCCTATATGGGATGGGGGCACCTGTGGGGTGTGGGGTGTCCCTATATGGGATGGGGGCACCTATGAGGTGTGGGGTGTCCCTATATGGGATGGGGGCACCTATGGGGTGTCCCTGTATGGGATGGGGGCACCTATGGGGTGTGGGGTGTCCCTATATGGGATGGGGGCACCTATGGGGTGTGGGGTGTCCTATATGGGATGGGGGCACCTATGGGGTGTGGGGTGTCCCTATATGGGATGGGGGCACCTATGGGGTGTGGGGTGTCCTGTATGGGATGGGGGCACCTATGGGGTGTGGGGTTTCCCTGTATGGGATGGGGGCACCTATGGGTTGTGGGGTGTCCTATATGGGATGGGGGCACCTATGGGGTGTGGGGTGTCCCTGTATGGGATGGGGGCGCCTATGGGGTGTGGGGTGTCCCTGTATGGGATGGGGGCACCTATGGGGTGTGGGGTGTCCCTGTATGGGATGGGGGCACCTATGGGGTGTGGGGTGTCCTATATGGGATGGGGGCACCTATGGGGTGTGGGGTATCCTATATGGGATGAGGGCACCTATGGGGTGTTCCTATATGGGATGGGGGCACCTATGGGGTGTCCCTATATGGGATGGGGGCGCCTATGGGGTGTCCCTATATGGGATGGTGGCACCTATGGGGTGTCCCTATATGGGATGGGGGCACCTATGGGGTGTGGGGTGTCCCTATATGGGATGGGGGCACCTATGGGGTGTGGGGTGTCCTATATGGGATGGGGGCACCTATGAGGTGTGGGGTGTCCCTATATGGGATGGGGGCACCTATGGGGTGTCCCTATATGGGATGGGGGCACCTATGGGGTGTGGGGTGTCCTGTATGGGATGGGGGCACCTATGGGGTATGGGGTGTCCTGTATGGGATGGGGGCACCTATGGGGTGTGGGGTGTCCCTATATGGGATGGGGGCACCTATGGGGTGTGGGGTGACCCTATATGGAATGGGGGCACCTATGGGGTGTGGGGTGTCCCTATATGGGATGGGGGCACCTATGAGGTCTGTGGTTTCCCTTTGGGAGCAGCTCATTGTGGCTCCCATCAGTGGTAATGGGGGCACCTATGGGGTTTTTGGGGCCCCCATGGGGGTCTCCCCGGCCTCCTTGGCCCCCCACCCGCTGACCCCGCGCCCCCCGCAGTCGCTGCTGACGCTCAGCCTGTCCTACATGGTGGGGATGATCTCCAGCTTCTACGACACCGACGCCGTCATCCTGGCCGTCGGCATCACCGTCGTCGTCTGCTTCACCGTCGTCATTTTCTCGCTGCAGGTGGGCGCCGCCGGGGGGGCCGCTGCCGGTTTGGGGGGCTGGGGGTCCCGGTTGGGTGCTGGGGGTCTCCATTGGGTGCTGGGATTCCTGGTTGGGTGCTGGGGGTCCCAGTTGGGTGTTGGGGGTCCTGGTTGGGTGCTGGGGGTCTCAGTTGGGTGTTGAGGGCCCTGGTTGGGTGCTGGGAGGCTCAGTTGGATGGTGGGGGTCCTGGTTGGGTGCTGGGGGTTCTGGTTGGGTGCTGGGGGTCCTGGTTGGGTGTTGGGGGTCTCCATTGGGTGTTGGGGGTCCTGGTTGGGTGCTGGGAGGCTCAGTTGGATGGTGGGGGTCCTGGTTGGGTGCTGGGGGTCCTGGTTGGGTGCTGGAGGTCCTGGTTGGGTGCTGGGGGTCCTGGTTGGGTGCTGGAGGTCCCACTTTTGTGTTGTGGGTCCTGGTTGGGTGTTGGGGGTCCTGGTTGGGTGCTGGGAGGCTCAGTTGGATGGTGGGGGTCCTGGTTGGGTGCTGGGGGTCCTGGTTGGGTGCTGGAGGTCCTGGTTGGGTGCTGGGAGTCCTGGTTGGGTGCTGGAGGTCCTGGTTGGGTGCTGGGGGTCCTGGTTGGGTGCTGGAGGTCCTGGTTGGGTGCTGGGGGCTCAGTTGGATGGTGGGGGTCCTGGTTGGGTGCTGGGGGTCCTGGTTGGGTGCTGGGGGCTCAGTTGGATGGTGGGGGTCCTGGTTGGGTGTTGGGGGTCCTGGTTGGGTGCTGGCAGGCTCAGTTGGATGGTGAGGGTCCTGGTTGGGTGCTGGGGGTCCTGGTTGGGTGTTGGGGGTCCTGGTTGGGTGTTGGGGGGTCCTGGTTGGGTCCTGGGGGTCCTGGTTGAGTGCTGGGGGTCCTGGTTGGGTGCCAGGAGATTCAGTTGGGTGCTGGGGGTCCCACTTTTGTGTTGGGGGTCTCAGTTGGGTCTTGAGGGCCCTGGTTGGGTGTTGGGAGGCTCAGTTGGATGGTGGGGGTCCTGGTTGGGTGCTGGAGGTCCCACTTTTGTGTTGTGGGTCCTGGTTGGGTGTTGGAGGTCCTGGTTGGGTGCTGGGGGTCTCCATTGGGTGCTGGGATTCCTGGTTGGGTGCTGGGGGTCCTGGTTGGGTGCTGGGGGTCCTGGTTGGGTGCTGGGGGTCCCACTTTTGTGTTGGGGGTCTCGGTTGGGTGTTGAGGGCCCTGGTTGGGTGCTGGGAGGCTCAGTTGGATGGTGGGGGTCCTGGTTGGGTGCTGGAGGTCCTGGTTGGGTGCTGGGGGTCCTGGTTGGGTGCTGGAGGTCCCACTTTTGTGTTGTGGGTCCTGGTTGGGTGTTGGGGGTCCTGGTTGGGTGCTGGCAGGCTCAGTTGGATGGTGGGGGTCCTGGTTGGGTGCTGGGGGTCCTGGTTGGGTGCTGGGGGTCTCCATTGGGTGCTGGGATTCCTGGTTGGGTGCTGGGGGTCCCAGTTGGGTGTTGGGGGTCCCACTTTTGTGTTGGGGGTCTCAGTTGGGTGTTGGGGGTCCTGGTTGGGTGTTGGGGGTCCTGGTTGGGTGCTGGGGGTCCTGGTTGGGTGCTGGAGGTCCCACTTTTGTGTTGTGGGTCCTGGTTGGGTGTTGGGGGTCCTGGTTGGGTGCTGGGGGTCCTGGTTGGGTGCTGGAGGTCCCACTTTTGTGTTGTGGGTCCTGGTTGGGTGTTGGGGGTCCTGGTTGGTGCTGGGAGGCTCAGTTGGATGGTGGGGGTCCTGGTTGGGTGCTGGGGCTCCTGGTTGGGTGCTGGGAGGCTCAGTTGGATGGTGGAGGTCCTGGTTGGGTGCTGGGGGTCCTGGTTGGGTGCTGGGGTCCTGGTTGGGTGCTGGAGGTCCTGGTTGGGTGCTGGGAGTCCTGGTTGGGTGCTGGGGCTCCTGGTTGGGTGCTGGGAGGCTCAGTTGGATGGTGGAGGTCCTGGTTGGGTGCTGGGGGTCCTGGTTGGGTGCTGGGGTCCTGGTTGGGTGCTGGAGGTCCTGGTTGGGTGCTGGGGGTCCTGGTTGGGTGCTGGAGGTCCCACTTTTGTGTTGGGGGTCTCAGTTGGGTGTTGGGGGTCCTGGTTGGGTGCTGGGAGGCTCAGTTGGATGGTGGAGGTCCTGGTTGGGTGTTGGGGGTCCCGGTTGGGTGCTGGGGGTCCCTTTTGGGTGCTGGGGGACCAACCGGGCGCCCCGCTGCCCCCCGCTCTCCCCCCAGACCAAGTACGACTTCACGTCGTGCCGCGGCGTGCTGCTCGTCTGCCTCGTGGTCCTCATCCTCTTCTCCATCCTCTGCATCTTCCTGCGCAACCGCATCGTCGACATCGTCTACGCCTCCCTCGGGGCGCTGCTCTTCACCTGCGTGAGTGGCGACGGGGGGACGTGGGGACGACGGGGACGTGGGGGGACATCGGGGGGGGGGGGGGCCTGGGGACGTGGGGGGACATCAGAGGGATGTGGGGACACAGGGGGGTGTGGGGGCATCGGGGAGATATGAGGACATGGGGGCATCGAGGAGATGTGGGGACATCAGGGGGGCAGGGGACACTGGGACATGGGGACACCAGGGAGATATGGGGACATGGGGACATATGGGGACATCAGGGGGACAGGGGACACTGGGACGTGGGGACACCAGGGTGATATGGGGACAACAGGGACATATGGGGACATCAGGGGGACAGGGGACACTGGGACATGGGGACACCAGGGAGATATGGGGACATGAGGGGCATATGGGGACATCAGGGGGACAGGGGACACTGGGACATGGGGACACCAGGGAGATATGGGGACATGGGGACATATGGGGACATCAGGGGGACAGGGGACACTGGGACATGGGGACACCAAGGTGATATGGGGACATGGGGACATATGGGGACATCAGGGGGACAGGGGACACTGGGACATGGGGACACCAGGGAGATATGGGGACATGGGGACATATGGGGACATCAGGGGGACAGGGGACACTGGGACATGGGGACACCAGGGAGATATGGGGACATGGGGACATATGGGGACATCAGGGGGACAGGGGACACTGGGACGTGGGGACACCAGGGTGATATGGGGACATGGGGACATATGGGGACATCAGGGGGACAGGGGACACCAGGGTGATATGGGGACATGGGGACATATGGGGACATCAGGGGGACAGGGGACGCTGGGACATGGGGACGCCAGGGAGATATGGGGACATGGGGACATATGGGGACATCAGGGGGACAGGGGACACTGGGACATGGGGACACCAGGGAGATATGGGGACATGGGGACATATGGGGACATCAGGGGGACAGGGGACACTGGGACATGGGGACACCAGGGTGATATGGGGACATGGGGACATATGGGGACATCAGGGGGACAGGGGACATTGGGACTTGGGGACACCAGGGAGATATGGGGACATGGGGACATATGGGGACATCAGGGGGACAGGGGACACTGGGACGTGGGGACACCAGGGAGATATGGGGACATGGGGACATATGGGGACATCAGGGGGACAGGGGACACTGGGACATGGGGACACCAGGGTGATATGGGGACATGGGGACATATGGGGACATCAGGGGGACAGGGGACACTGGGACATGGGGACACCAGGGTGATATGGGGACAACAGGGACATATGGGGACATCAGGGGGACAGGGGACACTGGGACATGGGGACACCAGGGAGATATGGGGACATGGGGACATATGGGGACATCAGGGGGACAGGGGACACTGGGACGTGGGGACACCAGGGTGATATGGGGACATGGGGACATATGGGGACATCAGGGGGACAGGGGACACCAGGGTGATATGGGGACATGGGGACATATGGGGACATCAGGGGGACAGGGGACGCTGGGACATGGGGACGCCAGGGAGATATGGGGACATGGGGACATATGGGGACATCAGGGGGACAGGGGACACTGGGACATGGGGACACCAGGGAGATATGGGGACATGGGGACATATGGGGACATCAGGGGGACAGGGGACACTGGGACATGGGGACACCAGGGAGATATGGGGACATGGGGACATATGGGGACATCAGGGGGACAGGGAACACTGGGACATGGGGACACCAGGGAGATATGGGGACATGGGGACATATGGGGACATCAGGGGGACAGGGGACAATGGGACATGGGGACAACAGGGAGATATGGGGACATGGGGACATATGGGGACATCAGGGGGACAGGGGACGCTGGGACGTGGGGACACCAGGGTGATATGGGGACATGGGGACATATGGGGACATCAGGGGGACAGGGGACACTGGGACATGGGGACACCAAGGTGATATGGGGACAACAGGGACATATGGGGACATCAGGGGGACAGGGGACACTGGGACATGGGGACACCAGGGAGATATGGGGACATGGGGACATATGGGGACATCAGGAGGACAGGGGACACTGGGACATGGGGACACCAGGGAGATATGGGGACAACAGGGACATATGGGGACATCAGTGGGACAGGGGACACTGGGACATGGGGACACCAGAGAGATATGGGGACATGTGGGGACATCAGGGGGACAGGGGACACTGGGACATGGGGACACCAGGGTGATATGGGGACAACAGGGACATATGGGGACATCAGGAGGACAGGGGACACTGGGACATGGGGACACCAGGGTGATATGGGGACATGGGGACATATGGGGACATCAGGGGGACAGGGGACACTGGGACATGGGGACACCAGGGTGATATGGGGACATGGGGACATATGGGGACATCAGGATGACAGGGGACACTGGGACATGGGGACACCAGGGAGATATGGGGACATAGGGACATATGGGGACATCAGGGGGATACAGGGACACCTATGGGACATGGGAACGCCGGGGGGACACGGGGACACTGTAGGGACACTACAGGGACAGCAGGGAGGCGTGGGGACACCAGAGGGACGTGGGGACATCATAGGGTATGGGGACACCAGAGGAACTTGGGGTCACCTGGAGAACGTGGAGCACTGAGAGGGACATTGTGGGGACACGGGGACACCACGAGGACACCGTGGGGACGGGAGGAGTGCGGGGGGACTTGGGGACACCGTGAGGATGTGGGGATATTGGGGACGTGGGGGAGGTGGGGACGCAGGGACGGAGGGACAAGCAGACATGGGGACACGGAGATGGGGGGACATGGGGACACGGGGATGGGGGGACATGGGGACAAGGGGATGGGGGGACATGGGGACACGGAGGTGGGGGGACATGGGGACATGGGGATGGGGGGACATGGGGACAGGAGATGGGGGGGACATGGGGACACGGGGATGGGGGGACATGGGGACACGGGGATGAGGGGACATGGGGACACGGAGATGGGGGGACATGGGGACAAGGGGATGGGGGGGACATGGGGACACGGGGATGAGGGGGACATGGGGACACGGAGATGGGGGGACATGGGGACATGGGGATGGGGGGGCATGGGGACACGGAGATGGGGGGACATGGGGACAAGGGGATGGGGGGACATGGGGACACGGAGATGGGGGGGACATGGGGACAAGGGGATGGGGGGACATGGGGATACGGAGATGGGGGGACATGGGGACATGGAGATGGGGGGACATGGGGACACGGAGATGGGAGGACATGGGGACAAGGGGATGCAGTGGCTTGGTGACATGGGGGTATGGGGACAAGGGATGTGGGGACAGGAGGACACAGGGACATGGGGATGCAGTGATGTGGGGACGTGGGGATTGGGGACAAGGGGACGTGGGGATGTAGGAATGGAAGGGACATGAGAACAAAGGTGACATGGGGACATGGGGACGTGGGGACGTGAGAACAAAGGTGACATGGGGACAGAGGGGATGGGGGATGTGGGGATGTGAGAACAAAGGTGACATGGGGACAGAGGGGATGGGGGACGTGGGGACGTGAGAACAAAGGTGACATGGGGACAGAGGGGATGGGGGATGTGGGGATGTGGGAACAAAGGTGACATGGGGACAGAGGGGATGGGGGATGTGGGGATGTGAGAACAAAGGTGACATGGGGACAGAGGGGATGGGGGATGTGGGGATGTGGGAACAAAGGTGACATGGGGACAGAGGGGATGGGGGATGTGGGGATGTGAGAACAAAGGTGACATGGGGACAGAGGGGATGGGGGATGTGGGGATGTGGGAACAAAGGTGACATGGGGACAGAGGGGATGGGGGACGTGGGGACGTGGGAACAAAGGTGACATGGGGACAGAGGGGATGGGGGACGTGGGGACGTGGGAACAAAGGTGACATGGGGACAGAGGGGATGGGGGACGTGGGGACGTGGGAACAAAGGTGACATGGGGACAGAGGGGATGGGGGACGTGGGGACGTGGGAACAAAGGTGACATGGGGACAGAGGGGATGGGGGACGTGGGGACATGAGAACAAAGGTGACATGGGGACATGGGGACGTGGGGACGTGAGAACAAAGGTGACATGGGGACAGAGGGGATGGGGGATGTGGGGATGTGAGAACAAAGGTGACATGGGGACAGAGGGGACATGGGGACGCAGTGATAGAAGGACACTGGACATGGGGACTGAGGGCTATGGGGGGACGTGGGGACACAGGGAACATGGGGACATGAGAACACAGGGGACACGGAGACATGAAGGCAAAGGGGATGCGGGGGACAGCGTCACACAGGCATGGGGACATGGGGACAGGGGGGGACACGGGGACATGAGGGATGTGGGGGGGATGTGGGGACACAGCGATAGGGGGGACATGGGGCTGCAGTGACAGAAGGACACAGGACATGGGGACATGGGGACAGAGGGGGCACAGTGACATGGGGACACGGCCATAGGAGGGACGTGAGAACAAGGGTGACATGGGGACAGAGGGGATGGGGGACGTGGGGATGTGAGAACAAAGGTGACATGGGGACAGAGGGGATGGGGGACGTGGGGATGTGAGAACAAAGGTGACATGGGGACAGAGGGGATGTGG